CTCGTGCAAACCGAAGCGACACTCTTCCGCCTTCTAACCAAATACAGCGTCGGCCGCGATCAAACATTTACGTTCGGGCCACACGAGTTCCAACAAATCTGTCGCGTTAGTGGTGCCCGCTGCATGCGTCTTTGTAACACAGAAAAACGACCTTTGGTTCCCTGCGACCTGAGAGAGGGCCGCACCGTGTGTCACCTTCGCCTCCCAGTCTGTTCCGGCATAGCCCCGGACCATCTGCCGCCGGACAGCGCGCGATTGCGGCGTGTAAGGAGCAGCCGCCGTTCGTCCTTCGCCGGGTTGTTTTCCAGTGGCATGCGGCGCTGTCAAAGCGTGTCCACCGGACACCGGCGCCACCCAGGTGTGTCCGGGCCGGACGCCAGGCGCCCGGGGCGTGTCCGCGCGCTCTCCGCCCGCCCAGGGGCGACGACCGGCCGGGGAAATCGTCCGGAAAATCGGCCCGCTCCGCTCACACCCGCCGGCCGACTGCCGGCACGGCGGCGGGCCGCACCCCACCGGCGCCCGCCGTCCGGCAGCTCCGGTGGCGGCGGCGGCGGCGGCGGCGGCGACGGCGGCGGGCCGCGCCCCACCGGCACCCGCCGTCCGGCAGCTCCGGCGGCGGCGGCGACGGCGGCGGGTCGCGCCCCACCGGCGCCCGCCGTCCGGCAGCTCCGGCGGCGGCGGCGGCGGCGGCGGCGGGCCGCGCCCCACCGGCGCCCGCCGTCCGGCAGCTCCCGCGGCGCCGGCGGCGGCGGCGGCGGCGAAAGTAGATCCCGACGGGCTGCCGACGGGCTGCCGGTGCGTCGTCGATGTCGCCTTTCGACTAGGGAAGATCGCCGCCGCTGGGGGAGGCGGCGATGGATGGCAATCTTTCGGGAGCCAACGGCTCGCTCGCGGAGGGGCCATCCTGCCTTCGCAGGCCGCAGGTGCGGGCTGTCCGGTGATGAGACCCAGCCGCCGGCGCCGCCTGTCAGTGTGCGGTGGCTCACTTCGAGTAATTGGGCGCGACTTCGCCGGAGATTTTTTGCTGTCGTCCGCATGCAGCTGCCGGCCGCTGAGAGGTGCGCGTGCGCGGCGGGGACGGCTGACAGGGTCAGGACAGAGGCTGGAGGCAAGTCAGAGACGGATCCGGAGCAGGAGCCGGAGCCGGAGCCAGAGCCACAGCTGGAGCCGGAGCCGGAGCCGGAGCCGGAGCCGGAGCCGGATCTGGATCTGGAGAGGGCTCTGGAGCAACCTGCCCGCCTGGAGCCTGAGGCCCGGTGTTCTGTTTTCTGGAAGGTCTGAGGTCGGTGGTTCTTAGCAGTTCTACCTCGGCGGCGGGTGGTTGCAATCAGCGGCGCTCGGGCTCCGAGCGGCGCTCCGTAGAGCCGGCTGACCGTGACCTGACCTCTAGCCGGTGATTGGCCGCCGGCCCGCCGCCCATCCCTTAAGGCTCAAATTGTCTCTGTGTCATGCCTTCCCGGAGCTCAGCGCCCAGTCATCAGCTTCCAGGAAAGAGGATTCACCGAGCTCCGACCCCATGCTATAGATCAGCTATGGGGAAGGCCAGTGAAGTTGGGATCCTGTGCGGGGAAAACGAGCGACTCCTCTTGGCCCCTTGCCCACCCCTTGGCCCCTTGCCCACCCCTCCGCCTGCGCGTGGCTATTTTGCGGTCAGCACTACGGGAGCGTTACAAATGCGGTTTGTCTTGTCTGATGTATGACACGCCAGGTCCGTGCACAGAGGAGATTTTCGTGCAGAACATGTCCGCTCGTAATGGACGGTATGCCTCTCTGACCTGGATTGCGGGGACCGCGCTGATCTAGCAGCGTGGCTCCCCCTGATGCACGCTGTCTCATCATGCGCCAGGGGGCCTCAGGGACTACCAAAGCGCCTGCTCAATTTAGCCCGAATGTTAGGTCGCCGATTGATGGACGATTTCATCCTCTCCAGGGGATTACAGGACTAGCGCTGTATCACATGTATCTGGTGTATCACAGTCCACTGCTTTCCTTGAAGCCTTCCTAACCACCACACCAGCCTGTACTCCTCTGACTTCTCCCCGAACCACCACACCAGCCTGCACTCCTCTGAGTTCTCCCCGAACCACCACACCAGCCTGCACCCCTCTGACTTCTCCCTGAACCACCACACCAGCCTGCACTCCTCTGAGTTCTCCCTGAACCACCACACCAGCCTGCACTCCTCTGACTTCTCCCTGAACCACCACATCAGCCTGCACCCCTCTGAGTTTTCCCTGAACCACCACGCCAGCCTGCACTCCTCTGAGTTCTCCCTGAACCACCACACCAGCCTGCACCCCTCTGACTTATCCGGGCTGTCCGGATTGCTAGACTGTTTACTCTACCCGACCAGTCCATACTCTTCACACCGTTCAGTCCAGCCTTTCGGGCCCGAGTTGGCCCTTCTTGGCCCGTCTGGTACCTGCCTGACCCGTCTGACCCGCTGGCTGACCCGTCTGATTTGTCTGACCTGCCTGTCCTGTCTCACTTGTCTGACCTGTCTAACTTGTCTAGGACCTGTCTGATACCTGTCTGGGACCTGTTTGGGACCTGTCTGACCTGTCTGACCTGCTGGCCGACCCGTCTGATTTGTCTGACCTGCCTGCCCTGTCTGACTTATCTGACCTGTCTAACCTGTCTAGGACCTGTCTAGGATCTGTCTGGAACTGTCTGAGGCCCGTCTGGGACCTGTCTGACGTGTATGACCTCTCCGGCCGGCTAGTCGGACGGATCGCGTGCCGTCAGCTGGTCAGCTGCCGCGTCCGGCCCGGACGCTGGCGGCAGGCCTTGCTGAGAAATGGGTGCCACCACCGCTCGGCAATGGTTGCCACCACCGCTCGGTAATGGCGTCCGCATTGCTAATAGGCCACAGCGCCGCTCGGTATGTCCGACTTTGCCACTCTGCAATGGGAGACCCTGCCACTCAGCAGTCCCCGACAGTGATACTCCCTGAGGTCAACACTGGCTCTCACTAACTAACCACAGTATCATTCACAAATACTTTTCGCTGCCACTCAGTGAGGGCCGACGGTGCCACTCGCTGTGATTGACACTTCCATTCACCAACCGACCACAGCGCCAGTCACTATAGTTGACGCCCGTATTCAGTAATGGTTGACACCACCACTCGCCAATGGCCTGCATTGTCACTCAGTAACGGGCGGCGACGCCAATTACTAATGGCTGCCACGATCATTCGGTCACATCCGCCCCGCCAACTCAGGAACAGCCGACACTCATACTCAGTAACAGCCGACACTCACACTCAGTTATGGCCAGTACTGTCACTCCCTAATGGCCGACACCGTTGCTGCAGCGAAGGCCATCGCCGTCTTCGACAGACACTCAGCCTGGCTTCGTCTCCAGCCGGCGGTGGCGGAGGTTGACGTGGACCTCCTGCCACGTCACCGCCGGCACCCCTGCCGGTAACACCGCCGGCCTGCGCTGCAGACGGACTGGGAAGGCGCTGACGCCCACTGTCGAAACAACCGGGAAAGGGAACTGAACGGATTTTAATAGCGGTATAGATGACAAATAGCAGAGCGCAATGGAAGGCGGGCGTCACCCACGAAAGTGATGTGACAAACCTCCGAAGGAGTGAGCTACGGTGGAAATGTAAACAGGGTCGCTCTGGAAAGCACTTGTCCCTGATCATGGCTCTTGGATGCCTTGAAAACGGGAAATGCTGTTATCTTTACTCCGCCAAAGACGGTCATAACATATCACGAACCCACGGAACAGTTCAACTCAACTTTGACGGCTAGAAACCATCTACCAACATTTCAAATGAGAGCTTTACCATCGCCGCCGTGATAATTATTTCACGTGCGCCTTAGCAACGCCCACAGACTTCTAAAGGAGGAGTGTTTTCGAGCCAGCTCAGTCTTGTGTAAAGGGCATGAGGGAGCCTCCTCGGGAGGGTTTGCACTAGTAGTATCGGGGCAATATTAAAGTGTCGAGAGCTCAAGTCAAGACAACCAATGAAGCTGCTGCGCATTGTTCCCGAGCTCTTGCCCTGTGGCTGAGGCCACCGTCTGTTGTCTCTGGGGCCGCACCTTCCGAGCGCTTGCGCTCCGGCTACAGACCAACCGGTGTCACATCAGGTCCCTCAGATTGACCATGTGCAATAGTTACTGAATGTATGAGTAATTAATTACTTGGTAATTCCGAGCCACCCAGAGCGCTGTTTGTAAGCCGGACAATGTTAAGGGCTGTGTTGCACAAACACAATGTCAATGTGCGCTGCTGCATGTCGTGTACCTGAGATTTTAATCTAGATGACCTTGCTTTGGTGGATTTGTGTAGATGGTTCCGTAAACTATATGAATCCCGCCGTTACGCAACCATTCATAGCCGTTAGCAGCACGCAATCTACCGTGACATGCCTCCGTGTCCAGCTTACCGACGCAAGTAAGCCACCTTTGCATAAATTCTGCCGCTTGGAAGTGTTTGCTTGTTAATGTCACGTTGGTAATATTTCGCTGAGACGGCGTCTGCTTCCGTGCACCTCATTTGTCGACTCATTTGCAGACAAGCCGGGCTCATGTTCAGCGAGCGTCATGGCTGCCCAGACAGACTCACAAAGTCTCATGTATCTTATCACTCAGCCACGAAGTGATTCGTTTATGTGTCCAATGTAATCAGCAGACAAACCAGACCTATGGTGGGTTTGTCAGTAATTGAATGGTACGGTCAACTGTGCAGGCTGAGTACTTGAGCATTGCTACCACTGATTAAACACAGAACAAGTCACGTTTCGGAATGTAAGGTGGAAACCAGACCGTGGAAAATAATTAAGCAAAATCCTCGTTGGTTGTGTAATGGCGTTGGAGGCGGTCCGTCATAATTAACACAAACCACAGGTACCAGTGGCTTACCAAAACTCACCGATGTAAGAGCCACTGAGGCCTAGTTTCGCAATAGCCTAACCCTCAGACAGTGTCGCCATGCATCCGCCAGAGCGCGGCTGCAAAACTAACCCCCGTCGTCTTTCGTTCCAGAAGTCAATAGAGCCTTCGGACCTTGATCTGCCCGCCATGAGCTTCAACCCGTTCGCCTCCGGGAACGGCCACGACGACCACGACAGGCCGCACGGGACTAACGGCTCCTCCGGTCATCCGTCGACCGACCCGTTCTCGGACAAGCTCGGCCTGTCGAGCTCGGCCGAGCCCGGCTCGCCGCTCAATCCGCGCGCGCCCGAGTTCACACCCGGCCAACTGAAGGGCGCGCCGTTCGGCGGCGGCGACGCGCTCGACCTGGACCCGGCGGCGGCCGAATTCGTACCCTCGGGCGCCGTGTTCGAGACAGAACTGCCCGAGCCCGGGCTGCTCGGTCAGCTGGGCAGCGGACTCAGTGCGGCCGCGTGCGACGCGCGCCAGCAGCTGTCGAACGTTGCGGAGGGTGTCTCCGAGATGGCGTCCCGAGGTGTCTCCGACGCCTTCGACGAGCTGGAGGGGGCTCAGGAGCGGACGACCGGGGCGATGGAGACCGTACAGAGCCGGACGGCGGAGGGCCTGGAGTCTGTTTACGATAAGGCGGCGGATTTCGCACAAACGGCGTTCGACCAAACTGTGGACGCCGTCGAAGTCGCGCGAAATCAGACGGCAGACGCTGCCGAGACGGCGTGTGAGAGCACAGCAGACGCCGCTGGGACGGCGTACGACAGCACGGCAGACGCCGCCGAGACGGCGTGTGAGAGCACAGCAGACGCCGCTGGGACGGCGTACGACAGCACGGCAGACGCCGTCGACACGGTGCACAGCAGCGCGGCACAGGGCCTGTACGACGTGTACGACGGGACAATGGAGGGTGCCGAGATTGCCTTAGGTAAGACGACAGAGGGCGCCGAGACCGCCCATGGTAGCGCGGCTGAACTTGGTGAGGCTGCTTACGACAAGATGGAACATAGCGTCGAGACCACTTATGGTGGCGCGGCTGAACTTGGGGAGGCTGCCTGCGACAAGATGGCGCACAGTGTCGAGACCACCTATGGCGGCGCGGCTGAACTTGGTGAGGCTGCTTACGAGAAGATGGCACATAACGTCGAGACCATCTATGGCGACGCGGCTGAACTTGGTGAGGCTGCTGACGACAAGATGGCACATAGCGTCGAGACCACCTATGGCGGCGCGGCTGAACTTGGTGAGGCTGCTTACGACAAGATAGCACACAACGTCGAGACCACCTATGGCGGCGCGGCTGAACTTGGTGAGGCTGCCTACGACAAGATGGCACATAGCGTCGACACCATCTATGGCGGCGCGGCTGAACTTGGTGAGGCTGCTTACAGCAAGATGGCACATAGCGTCGAGACCACCTATGGTGGCGCGGCTGAACTTGGTGAGGCTGCCTACGACAAGATGGCACATAGCGTCGAGACCACCTATGGCGGCGCGGCTGAACTTGGTGAGGCTGCCTGCGACAAGATGGCGCACAGTGTCGAAACCGCCTCTGAAGGTGCGGCTGAGCTTGACGAGACTGCCTTCGACAAGACGGCGCACAGCGTTGAGATTGCGTACGACAAAACGGAACAGAGTGCTGACACTGCGTATGATAGCATGGCGCATGGTCTGGAAACCGCCTACGACAAAATCACAGGAGGTGCCGAAACTGCCCATGGTAAGGCGAAAGAGGCCGCTGAAGATGCTTATGGCGACCTTACGAAGTTTGCTGGAGATGCTTTCGGCAACGCCACAGGAGTGGCTGAAGGTGCATTCAACAAAACAGCGGAGATAGCTGAAACAGCGTACGACAAAACAACAGAAATGGCTGACACCACTGACGACAAGACGGCTGAGCGCCTGGGGCCCGCGTTGGACCAAGCGGAATTCTCCGCAGAGGCAGAGCACGCCGTAGAAGCCGCCTTCACCACGACCACAGAGAAGGCCGGCGGTGCGACCGAAGAGGCTCAGTCAGCTAGCGACTCAGTCCTCGACTCGGCCGCCGAGACCGCCAGCTTCGCCTTCACCACCGCCGCCGAGACCGCCAGCTCGGCGTTCACTACCGCCGCCGAGAGCACCGACTCGACCTTCAGGACCGTCGGCGACATCATGACGTCGGCGCACGACTCGGCTGCGACTGCGGTCGGCTCGATGGCCGAGTTCGGCTCCAGCTCGCTGCAGCCGGCGCTGGAGGCCACCGTGAGTGCTGAGGACACTGTCGACGCCAGCGCCGAGAGGCTCGGCTCGTTTGCGGGTGAGGCGGCCGAGGAGGTGCAGCGGCGGCCGGATGAGGCGGCCGTCGAGCACGCCGACGCCTCGTTCGAGCCGGTGCAGGTGGAGGAGCGATTCGGCAACGTGTTCGAGGCGGCCGGCGACTTCGTGAGCTCGTCGTACGACGCGGCGGCGGCGGAGCTTGGTTCCGCCGCCGAGGTGGTGACCGGCGGCGTCCAGGCGGCACTGGGCTCCGCCTACGAGCACATAACCTCGACCTTCTCAGCCACCTCGGATAACCTCACCACCGGCGCCCAGTCGGCCGCCGACGGCCTGGACCAGGCCGGCGAGTCGGTCCGGGAGGACGCGGAAGCCGCTGTCTCGGAGACGGCGGCGACGCTCGAGTCGCGCGCCGACGAGGCGGAGGAGGCGCCCGAGGCGTCCACGTCGGACGCCGATGCGACCTTGGAGTCCACGGCCTCGCTGACGGCGGGGCACATCGATTCCGTCGCCAGCGGCGCGGCCGATGCGCTCGATACGGCTGCTAGTGAAACAGCTGACCTATTGGAGCCGGTTGCGAGTGAGGAAAAGGCCGAGCAAGACACCACTGCGCATGACGCAGAGGCCGCGTTCGGGCACGTCAGTGGTGAGGTGGGAGAGTTGGCCGAATCTGCTGCTGAGAAGACAGAAGCTCTGACCAGCGAAGCCGCAATCGCCCCCGAGTCTGCTGCAGATCAAGCGGAGACGTTCTACAGTGAGACAGCGGGCGCGTTGGAGTCGGCTGCTAGCGAGGGGAAGTCAGCCCTGGAATTCGCTGCTGATCAGACGGAGGACGCCTACGATCAGGCGGCCAGCGAGATGGCGAGTCACCTCGAGTCCGGCGCAAGCCAGGCGGAGACCGCAATGGAGTCGGCGGCGGCAGAGACGGAGGAGGCCGCCCTCGAGACCAGCACCGCGCTGGACACGGTAACCGACCAGGCGGCCCTGACGCTCGACTCCGCCTACGGTCAGGCGGCGGACGCCTTCGAGCAGACGACGGGCAGCCTGCAGTCCGGGGTGGACGCCGCGGCCGAGAACGTCGGCCCGGCGGAGCGCTCCTCCGAAGATGTGCTCTCGTCAGCCGCCGAGCGGGCTGAGCGCGAAGCGCAGGACGTCTCGGTGGCGGCCGGCGCGGCCCTGGACACGGTCGACGGTCACCTGCAGTCGGCTTACGACACCACGGCCGGTGCGCTGGGCTCGGCGTACGACACGGCCGCGGCCGGTACACAATCGGCATTGGACCCGGCGCGGTGGAAGGCGGAGCCGGACGGTGACGACCGGACCGGCGCTGCGACCGAGCGCGACGAAGAACAGTTCATGAGGACCGTCACCGATTCGGTGGAGTCGGTGTCGGGCAGCGTGCCGGAGGCGGAGGACCGCTTCGCTGAGGAGGCAGAGGAGGCCACGGAGACGGCCGGAGAGGCCGAGCGCCGTATCGCCGACGAGGCTGCAGAGGGCGCACACACCTCGCTAATGGACACACTGGCCGACAGCTTGCAGTCGGCCGCAGACTCAGCCGCCGGCGCCGCCACGTCGGCCGCAGACTTGGTCACTGAGAGCGGCAGTACGGCGTACGAGGTGGCGGCGGACAAGGCTATGGCAAAAGAAGAGGAAGACCAAGAGGTAGACGTGCTCCAGCAAGACGACGAGATCGCGGAGCAGGCTCTGAAACATGACACGGGCGCGATCACGCACGACATTAAGCAGGTTGCCGACGACATCGAGAAGTTGGTGGAGCCCGCGGCAGAGATCCTGCCGTTGGAGGCCGAGGCCGGAGCGCACGCGGCGGCCGAGGAGGAGGGCTCGCCAGCCCCGGAGCTGGTCGCCGCCGCCGAGCGGCACGGCGACGACGCAGTCGAGTCGGCGCTGGAAGCGACGGACGAGTTCTCGGCGCGTCTTGAGCACGAAGTGGAGGCGGACGTGCACCGCTCGCTGGCCGACGAGCAGCCGAGCGACTTCTTGCAGCAGCAGGCGGAGAAGGCAGCTGCTGCCGCAGAGAGCCTGGTGCAAGAGGCGGCCGACGCTGCGGCCCCGGTGGTGAAGCAGGCCAGTCAGTGTCTGGAAACGTTGGGCGACCATTCGCAGTCGGCCGCCGACGCCGCGGCCGCCCAGCTGACCGATATCGAAACCGTCGACCCTGCTGAGCAGTTTGAGACGATCGAGCAGAGTGAAGTGGAGGCGGTGCGCCGCGAGATGGCCGAGGAAGAGCCCAAGAGGCCCGAGGAGGATTCAGAGGACGAGCCTGAGCTGGACCCGATCGAGTCCAACGAGCTGCTGCAGGCCTCGTTCCACGAGGACATGCAAGCGTTTTCGCACCCCAGCGCCGACATGCTGAGCCCTGACCAGGAGCATTTCGAGGCCATGGAGCGCGCCCTCCAGCAAGAAACCGACGACCTGGTCCCGGGTGGCTTCGTATACCATACGCCGATTCGCAAGCCAACTGAGCCACTGCTGTCGGAGCTGCCGGTCTCGGAGCCCACCCGGGAGCCAGAGCCTGTCCTAGAGCCTGCTGCAGGGGCACAGCCCATTAAAGAGCTCGCTGCCAAGGCAGAGCCCAGTAAAGAGCCTGCTGTAGTGTCAGAGCCAGTCAAAGAGCTCGCTGCCGAAGCAGAAGTGGTACCAGAGACTGTTGTTCAGACAGATACAGCACCAGAGCCTACGATCGAGGCAGATAAGTTCCCAGAGCCGGCTGTGGAAGCCAAGCCAGCCGCGGACGAACAGCACCCTGTTCTACTGGTGTCTCCCACTGACGCTGAATCGACATATGAGCAACCAGAATCGGAACCAGGACCGGAATCAGCTGTTTCGGTCCAGACGGCTGCTGCGGCCGCTGCCGTTGCGATCGGGGCAGCAGCTGTCGGGGCTGCAGCTGCCGCAGCCGCCAGAAAGGACACCAAGACCGAAGCTACCAACGCCGACAAGAAGACCCCAGTGGCGAAGAAAACAGGCAAAGAGCCACTTAAGAAGACACCCACTGGAAAAACAGACCTTGCCAAGCTGCCAGCAAAGCCAGCTGTCAGCGCTTCCGCAAAACTAGCGGCGAAGACAACGACCAAGCCAGCCACCAAGGCCCCCACGCGCCCCACTACGGCCCCTGCCACCGGCAGGTCTCCCACCGCCAAGACCGGTGCTGTTGCTCCTAAGGCAGCCACGACGCGCGCCCGACCCGCCACGGCCACCGCCGCCCGACCCTCGATGGCGACCTCGGCGAGGACCTCGACCTTCGGCACAGCCCGGGCTTCCACGACCTCCACCACGCCGAAAACGGCCACTACGTCCGCCGCCAGGCCATCCTCGGCCAAAACCACGCCGCGATCGACCACCACCCCCACCATGAGCACGCGGACTTCGCCAATGAAGACCACGCCATCAACGCCCGCCGCCAAAACCACGCCTAAGCCGCGAACGACGCCCACCACCAGCAGGAGCGCGCCGGCCGCGAGGAGCGCGCCGCTGACGCGCACTCCACCCCAGAAGAAGACGCCCACCTCGCCCAGTAAGCCGGACGGCAAGACTGGCGAGCCGAAGCCGGTGGCCGCCAAGCCAACCCGCCCCAGCACGCTCTCGACCCGCACCACCGGTGTCACCGCTGCCCGGTCCAGCACCACTACCCGGCCGACGGCGACCACCAGCCGGTCCACCGGCACTGCCGCCAGCCGCACCACCAACGGATCCCCGGCCCGGCGCCCCGGCACCAAGACGGCGAAGGAGGCGGTCAACTCGAAGATTTCAGCGTCGCTGAGCGCGCGGCCCGCCGCTGGCTCCACTACCAGGACCTCCGGTATCGGCTTCGGCACCAGAGTTCCCAGTGAGTGTGTGGCAAAGTTTGCCGGTCAGGTGTCGGCTAGGAGTGGTCCATCATACAATGAGTGTGTGATAGAGTTCGCCGGTCAAGTGCCGGCTGGGAATGGTCCATCATACAGTGAGTGTGTGACAGAGTTCGCCGGTCAGGTACCGGCTGGGAGTGGTCCATCATACAGTGGCAAAATAACGGCGTAGCTACCTGCTTCCATAGCCTTCGTATTCGTTCATATTTTTACATACAGAAACAGGGAACATTTCGTAGATGCTTGCAATGTTTTTTTTTTGTTGAACCTATGCGTTTCGTGGTTGTTTATGACAATGGCTTAACCTCATCGTCATTTCGCCGACATTCGTCACCAACATACATAGCTTGTGACGCTCATTAGAGTCGCACAGTCTCGTGCTGAAGTTTGCCAGCAAATGATAACGGCCGCCGTTGAACGAAACTATCCTGACTGCACACCAGGGCTACACTCAGTACATTATACTGTAACTATCCTGACTGTACACCAAGGCTACACTCAGTACATCATACTGTAACTATTCTGACCGCACACCAAGGCTACACTCAGTACATCATACTGTAATTTATATACCGCTCCAACACGACTGTAAACGTGTGGAGCTTTTGATGGTGATCGTTACACTTGCAGCGCAAGTTATCCCATGGCAGGATGATGTTGGCCTCAGACTGGGGGTTCAGCACAGACACCTCACGCATGTTCCTGGATATGTATTGCGGGGATGACGAGCACTAACACGCGCTCCGGTGGGGGCCAAATTGAACCCGCCGAAGGTTTTTTCCGAAATGGTTTCGGAAGGGCGCGGCGAAGTCGCGCCAAATTTTGCATAGCTGTAGGCAATTGAATAACGGATCTTTTGTTACCACAAATTTAGATGTACCTTGTAAGGTCGCTCACCTATGGCAGGTCAAAGTCAGGCCATGGTTTAAGCGAAGGCAATTCCTAAGGAATCGTTCAATCCGATGTAACAACGAAGTGTTCGACGAACCCATGTACCTCTCAGATGCTTTCTTAGGCAACACAACAATTGAATTATCAAATTACTTTGACCTTAGGTCAGGTATGAAGGTGAGACCATTGTCAAACACAACCTGTTTTATTATTCTAGGGCTTGCTGTATGGGATGACCTCTGGCGCTCATTTCGAATTTATTGGTAGCGGGTACCGCATTATGCATCTTCCATGAACTTGTTAGCGGTTGAATAGGTCGTTGACCTAAAATGACCCACATCAACATTTGGTTTTTAGGAACATACTGCCTCGCGTAATCTTTTTCGCCTATTCCAATTCAAAACTCAGGACAGTCTTGTATGATTTTGCTCACCATGACCCCCAAAAGGTCAAGCAAGGTCACTGACCTTCAATGAGCATGTGACCTTTTGCTTAGAGGCTATCATCTAGGTTCTGTGGGCACTTTAGAGGTCAACCTGGAAGTTGACCCTGTCTGACCTTATTCGACCCGAAGATCATAAGAACTTCAGACTTTGACCTAGGTAAGTTCACGTGCAGGTCAAGACACCCTGTGAATTTGGTCTCTCTAGCTTTATTGTTTCCTTAGACCTCAAGGGGGTCAAATTGGCCTCCCACCCGAGTAAAAAATATCCAGCCGGCCACCCGGGCGCGTGTTAATGCGGGCTTTGCAGGTTGAGTGTCGTGGATAGGGACGATGCTCACTTCTTCACTGAGGTTAACGGCGGAGACAGTGCTGGCTGCTCATACCATTCGTCATATATTCGTCCCTGGTCCCGGGATCACGCCAGGGGCTAACGACGTTACATGCGATAGACATGTGAACAGCATGTTAAAGTGACATGATGACTGTTAAATGTGGCCATGCTGCCTGTGGTAATGATCGTTTGCATGCATGTTTTGAGGGTCACGAAAACTCATTACTAGAGGCATGTGACCGGCCATAAGCCGTGACAGTTTGCCTTCAAGTAGATATATGCCGCGATGCCTGGTGGCTCGCGTTCAGCACTTCGGCACTCACGGTCCCACCTACGTCGGCCTTTCAGGCAGCGACGATGGAGTGGCCGTTAAGTAAGAACAGCCGCACGGAGAAATGTCCTCGAACTTTCGGTGGTGTTGACCCTTTGCAGTGAGCCTGCAGGTGTCGGTAGCTGCTGCCCTGTCCACAGATACGGTGAAGAAGACAGGTTCTGGAGCGGCGACCAAGACGCCGCCATCTCGGCCACTGACGACAGTGGGCCGCACCAAGGCAGCCTCAACTGGCGGCCACAAGACCACCGAAGGCAAGGGGCCGGCCAGCAAGAAGTCTGCCTCCGCCATCGTCACCGAGACAGTGGCGCCGGTCGACAACAGCGGTGGGCTGGAGAAGTTCACGTCCGAGGACGCGGCGATAGAGGTCACGGACAAGCTAATGTCCGAGGCCAACGGGCACCACCACGACCTGGGCGGCCTGGAAAACGGCAACGGCGTGGATCATCACACGGCTGAATTGGTGTAAGCCGGCGGCATGAGCGGCATGTGATAAACTAGCGGCGGACAGGGCGGCGCGGCAGGCGACAGTCCGCGGCCCGGAGACGGAATGGACGCGCGGCGGCCCGCTGCCTGGCGAAGCGACCCGACACTCGGAGTGAGATGGTGCGCCGCGCGGTGGCGCTCCGATCGCACCGCCGGCCACCTGGCATTGTGATATACGTGCGCATCGAATTGGAACATTGAGAGGCTTGAAGCGCTTATATTTAGTTTATTTTGGTAACTTATTTTAGCTCACACCGTTCCTGCGAGCAGGAGTGAGTGGGGCGGGGTGAGTGGAGTTTGAGGAGTGAGAGAGGGCGTGCCGGGCCGAGGTCGGACGTCTTCACACCGGCTGAACGGAGCGTCACCAGACGATGCCTCGGCGCTGCAGAGCGTTCCTGCATCCTTTAAGAATAGCGTCATAGTCCACGTCTCAGATTAAGATGTATTTTTTAGAGGGCCCTGTGCTGTGTGGCCGCTGATAAGGGGCGGCCCGGGTCGGGTCGCCGCGCCCCCGCCGAAGTAGCGGGTCAGGTCAGGTCAGGTCAGGTCAGTGTTGCGCGGCCGCTATTGCTCGCTCGGCTTTGGGCGTCGCCATACGAGTCCTGTTGGCGTCTGGCTACTCTGCCTGTTCTCCGTACCGTCTGTTTCTGCCAATGGGCCCGCGAGCGCCGCCGGCGATGTGACACTGAACACACGGACGCGTCGCTGCTCTGGTCCGATGTGACACTGAACACACGGACGCGTCGCTGCTCTGGTCCTCGTCGCATGTTCGGTCATGGTCCAGACGTCTCTTGTGTGTTTATTATTATTATTATTATTGCAAAGCACAATAAATCTTCCTAGTTTTCTTCTACTGTAACGCTTTGATGTACGAGAAAAAGAATCCAGAAAACGCGGCAAGAATGGAGTTGACTAGAAGGCCACGTCAAGGTCAAGATAATTGGCTTTCGTATCTGTCTGATCATTTGGGCGTGCTTGTCGGTATCAGAAACGGCTTCACCTTGCACATACCTGTTTAGCACACCTGCACTGGAACTACAGTGGTGTTCTAAAACTATCGTCATCGCTGCAAGTGTCGGCTCGCGCTCACAATGGGTGTCGGGATGCTCGCCCGCTGACGCTTCGAACCTACCAGCTCTTCACACCCCGTCTGAGCTGGGGACAGAGCGCAGCGAAAACTTCGGTAGCGCGGCGCGTGCGGTTTGCCTGACCACCTTGCATGGTGAAGATCGTATATTTTCATATGATCAGTGCGGTGCAGACAAGATATGCCACAAGCAGGTGGAAAACGCGGTGTGAATCCGGGCAATGCGGGCAGAGAAGCAAACCACTGTCCGGCCGCCCCGCGCACCGCTGTCCGGCCGCCCAGCGAACCACTGTCCGGGCCACCCAGCGGAGGTAGCCAGCAGGAGCAGGTGGCCGAAGGACGGCTGATGCTGCTAGTTAACGACCATAGAAATATGCCGGACGGCCCCAAATTCGGTTGAAATGTTAAGTATTAGCGGGAGTCAAGTGCCATTGTGTTCTTGTGCTAACGGTGTATCACACTACTGACCAATTAGATGAATTCAACTTGCAACATCTTTGAAGCTTTGGGCTTGTTAATGATTCAGATATTGCTGAAGATGCATCGTTATAATGAGCTCAAAGCAACTGTCCCTAGCAAAAATTGGCCACAGCCTCAGACCCAATGAGTTGCTGGTTATAACATCAGGATGTTGGTCATGCTGTTGCCACAGACCATCAGCTAGCGGCGCGCAGCTTCGCCGAGCACGATTCTCCGGAGAAAAGGCGGTTGCGCCGTTACAAGAGTCTGCACATTCTCAGATGGTCGTCTCTCTCTCTCTCTCTCTCTCTCTCTCTCTCTCTCTCTCCTCTCTCTCTCTCTCTCTCTCTCTCTCTCTCTCTCTCTCTCTCTCTCTCTCTCTCTCTCTCTCTCTCTCTCTCTCTCTCCGGCGACATTGCTTGTTCGACCTGTCACGATCACACCAGAGATGGGGCAAGGAAGATAGACAGCTTGAGAGGGAGACGGAGAATAGGGTGGGGTACAACAATAGAAACATGAAGCAAAAGAGGCCGAGGCTACTTAGAGTTTTAGATTTCTTGAGATCTAAGATCTCTGAAAGCTTCCGCGCAGATGCGTACGGATTTTCGCAGCATTTAAGCGGAAAATTAGGTTGAAAACATACCCATCACAGACGAGCTCTAGTCGCATGGAACAGCCGAGCTCTTCCGTTTTTGTTAGCATGCACTCTGTAAAGACTTATTGAAATCATATTGTCAAAAATAAGAAATAAGATAGATATGCAGAGTATGGGCTGTGAGTTCAGTGCTAGCTTCTTTTGCTTCTTTGCTGCTGTATTCTGTCAATGCCATGCCGATCCAACAGATTGATAAAACTACGTTCCCCCTTGTTTTGAGGATAACCTAGATAGGTATTCTTCAGAAAGCGATGCCTGCGAACAGGTTGTGTGCTGGGCTTGTTGAGCTGTAAATGAACAAACTCGGCGTCCATCTGTCCCCACACATTGAATTTGCGTACACGCCGTAAGAATTCGCTGCCGAAGCTGCCTGGTTGGATGCAAACTGCTCGCGGACGACTCGCACTGCTTGCATTGTTTAGCCTGGGCGTTTCCTAGCTTGAGAACTCATTGGGCCTTCCCATGACCTATCATGACCCTGACTGCGGATGGCCTTGAGCTCCCAGATGCATTTAAGCATTTTCATGCATTTTCATGCATTTAAGGGTCAAGGCCATACGGTGTCCAAGGCGCACTAATATTTATGGACTATTTTCAAGACATAGACTATCGTGAGCTTCCTCTTGAACGAAGTTGAATATTTAGTCCACCATAAGAAAACTGATGTCATTTATGTTTGCCCTGGTGTAAACATATCGGTACTAACGTCTATTGCTTCATATGCAAATGTCAACCTCTTATCTGCTTTTACTTAACGCGGAATGCATGTGAACAGTTGCCTCCATCTTCATGATATAACCAAAAAAGCCTCTGGAACCATTAGAAAACACACGCTGCACACGATACCAAATACGCATCGCTTACAGCCAAGCGGAGGAGTGGTCTTTCACATCTTCTCGTGCAGGGATTGGAGGAGGGCTCACATGCTGCTGATATGGCCCGTGTAACATTTTGGATTTGAAGATAAGTCAGGTGTGGAAGGTTATTTAAAAAGGCTACGAAAAATCGTAACTCAGCGCATGATTGCAGAGCTTTTTTAAACAAATTCACGCGAGGCTGTATCGAATACCTACCTACCTACCTTTCGCATTGTAGAACATCCTACGTCTTGCCAAAATAACGTCGTTTTTTATTGAGCGTGCAAACGTATGACATTTGCTATCTTTTTTCTTTGGACACTGACGCTTACATGGAACTGGGGTTAACCTGCGACCCAATGCCGCAATACGCAAATTTAACCCTCGCTCTGATTCTCCGTTTTTCATAACGCAGACTGATAGGGGAGGCGGTGTGAGCCCTGGCGTTTCCGAACTAGTAAAAATAGAGCTAAGGAAAAAATCCCAGTGGATTGGTCTCAAAAAGATCTCACGCTTGGGACCAGGCTTAATCTTAACCTCATTATGGCAGTTAAAAGGTAAAATTTTTTCAGACAATCGCATTTTTCTGTTTTACAGTATGCAGACTAAACGATGCCGCGTGGGGACACAAATCTGGGGCTGGCGTGGTTTTTCCGTTTAATTTTAAGCACAATGGTATATATATATATATATATATATATATATATATATGTGTGTGTGTGTGTGTGTATGTGTGTGTGTGTGTTTAGCGTAACTTTATGATAGATAGCTCCGTTACTGTAAAAATATCGGTTCGCTGTGGGTGCTCGCGGCATCGTTGGTTGCTGCCTGTCGCCTGCGCTTGAAAATTGTTATGTAGTGTTCCTCAAAAACTGCCACTGCTCAGACGTCAAAGAAGTTAGGAATGCCGTGTCGAAACACGTGTAATGAATGCCCCACAGGCTACTGAAAATTTTGACGCGATTGCGCAAAATGTCGGAATGATATTCTCAAAAAACCTTAGAGGATCGCATTACTCCCTCTGCCCACCGCATCATGGCAAGGGTTGAAAACGCTTTTGTATGCGAGTTTGTATGTAAAATGATAAGCTGTCTTTTGCCGAACGGCTTAGTCCAGTAGCCAACGGTTACCAAGATACTCGCCTCAGTTGATTATATGGTCATCAGCAATTAGCATTAGTTGTTGATCATCCATGGCCTTCCAATACCGTTCGCTTCATTGGCCGACCTCTCTCCATGCAAACGATACTGGCCCATGACTGGCGGCGGTACATGTGATACACTCACTCCTGGCGAAGAAGACCCGTGATCATAAAAGCAGCTTTCTCTGTTTCTCTTCTCTCTTTTGCACTCTCCGCCGTCGGTGAGCGAATTAATGATCCCGTGTCTGAGAAAACCACTACCAATCACTGCCGAACAATTACTGAACTTTCCCGAGGCTAGGCGCTCACTTAAGTCGGACATAAATCAACCCCACTGTACGAACAATGGGTGTCTTATTGTTTCTCTCAGTTAACAGCAGATCTTTAGCGCAGAAGACAATGCAAACCCAGAAGACAATGCAAACGACCGCAACGCTTGGATCTTGGATAATTTCCCAGTCTAGTTATGAAGTGCTAATGAGCTGAGCGCCAGTTATGCCTCCCTGGGCAGTGAAGCAGCCAGATGGAGCCCTCTGGAGGTACTGAAGCCTCAATTGGCCGTGCATCCCAGTACCCTTTGGCAGCTTATGATGGCCCTAGGGCTTCTAAAGCACGAAAAACTGCACTCGAGGCATCGAAACGGGATTCCGAGTCGCCTAAAACGACCTCCTGAATAAAAAACAGTATCCCTGTAGCAGCGAAGTGCCCCTACCTTTGGCTGAAAGGCCCCGCACGCCAGGATTTGGCCCCCTCCTGTGAAAAATTCTGGCTGCACCTCCGCCTTTGGGAGAATTCCAGTTAAATGACAGGCATTCAAAAAGTTCTCTTAACACCGAAATTAAGTGGCGGATCGTGCAGACTAAAATGCATGTATTGAGAGATGTAAGTTGATGGAAACAGATGTGTATTTGAATTTATCAACATATTCATCAGCACGTTCGGCTGGTTATCGTCACACATTTTATCTGTTCTATATCTGCGGAATCAGGGCCATAGGTGCACTGGTTTGAAGCTAGTAGAATTTTCCGTATCCTTGCAATTGTGAGCAACCCCTTTTCTCCACAGTTTGAGATACGATAGTCCGTAGGCTATAGCCATCAGGCCATGTTGCTGCACCGGCTAGTAAATTAGTAGCTTGTGCCTTCAGTTCCATTTGGCCTCAATATCACCTGCAAACATATCTCGTGAAAACACTAAGCAATGTCTAACCACGAGACAGAGAAACGTCTGCTATATTTGGCCTCAATGTCACATGCAAACGTATCTCGTGAAAACACTAAGCAATGTCTAGCCACAACGACAGAGACACGTCTCCTATATGTGTTGCAAAACAACCAGAACCACAGACAGGTATATTTGAGCTCTTTTCACGTTCGAAGTACTGGGTAGGCAACTCTCTCCAATGTTTTTAGACTGGTACCAGACCGGAAATGCATGAAAAATAACACTAGCTGCAGCGAAATTCATGGACTACCGTGAGGTCTACCAAATACACGGCAAAACGTATCCCGGAAGACTGTTTCGCGTCATCGTGTATTTAGTCGTCATTTGACGTTTGCGGTATTTGATGATTTGGTGTCATGGACGAAGTAGGTAAATTAAAATGACGAGTAGGGGCATTATGAAGCAAAAACGCATCTGTTGCAAAAGATTCTAGCTATTTTAATCGACCTGACGGCGATCGGCGAAATCATCCCTGATCATCTCAGTTTTCTAGCGCTTCTGATTTGTTTCCCAATCAGGCACGTGTGAAAAAGCGATACCGAGAACAAAGCTGCCACACGTTTTAGGCGCTTTAATGTCAAGGCGCTCGGCGCCAAACGACCATGTGGTCATTGCTAGTGACCCTTTGCATTATATCCCCACACCACATTGGTTACATGTTGCTCAATGACAATACAGAAGTAAAGGAGAGAGGACACATTACATCCTGTGCAATACACAATTAAGCTATGGTTACAACAGGAGTCCGCCAGTCATCTTTTGAAACGCAGGAGTGGGGCTGTTACCCTTCTCGTTTCGGTGAAGGACGCAGCACATGCGATGCAGGTTCCCGAAACTGCTTTCATTTTTGAGCGTCCGGCTGTTGAACCACAACTACCCATTCCCAGGTGACATGGCAAGAATACCAGATTGTCTGCAGTCGGTGTGGCGTTTGCCTCATCGGCGTTGTTTTTTTCTGCGGTTGCGTGGTTTGTTTGCGCAGCCAAGTTTTACGCCGCGTGCGTGTGTGTAAGGCGCGTGGCCTGCAACAAAAGCCTCAGCCAGCTGAAGCCGTCGAGCTCGATGGCTCAGCACTTTTACTGCTCAGACCTCGGCCGGCCACGGCTGGCCGTGTTTGTGTTACGAGAGCACGCGCGGCGGGCCCTGGCCCGGCCACGGCTGGCCGTGTTTGTGTTACGAGGGCACGCGCGGCGGGCAGGCCGACCGGCCGTGGTCAGACCACCGCTGGCCCAAACTGCCGGTCGCAGGGCCGGAAGCGGCATCTGATACAGACGAACAGTCGGTGGGTCACAGGGAGTAGGCGAGAGAACCGTGAATGCAAGTCATCTTCCTTAACACAAATTTGTTGATGGGGAGAGGGGGTGAGAGTGGGTCGATTTAGCAGGTCACCATTAGTACAGCCACACACACTCTCAACGCAGAATCACCCTACGCCTACAAACGCAGCAGCAAAAGACGGATTTCAAAGCATAGTGGGGTATGGTGCGGAAACAGCGGACAGGCCTGATTTGTTGTGGGTGTCTCCAGCTCTCATCAACAAGCAATACAAATATGTACTGGTCACCTGATGACCCAAGCGTAGCGTGCCCCGCTGTGTTCCAGCTTGCTTGGCTTGACGCAATTTGAACCGATTTGCAAAGCATCATTCGAACAAAGCTTTCTCACAGAGGGCTTATCAATCGCACTTTCGACCGTGAAGCTACAACTGGCATTAACCGGGGTTTCATATAAACGGTGTCAAGCTGCGCTAGGTCGTACGATTCTAATGGAAACCATGGGCGGAAAAATACCGCACAACACCACCCTGCCTCCCCAACCGGCAACAAATCACTCGCATGTATTTACTTATCGATCGGGTTAGGAAATAAGTTAACACGCGCTCAAACAATTTAACAATTCAACCTCAATTTGACGTTAACACGTCAAATTGACCCCCCGAAGGTTTTCCAGAATGGTTTTTGAGCGACGCGGCGTAGCCGTGCCAAATTTTGCATAGCTGTAGAAAATTGAATAGCGGATCGTTTGACATCCAAAATTTAGATATACCTTGTACGGTTGCTGACATATAGCAAGTCAAAGTCAGGCCATTGTTTCAGCGGAAGCAATTTCTAGGGAATCGTCCAATCTGATACAATAACGGAATGCTTGACCAAGCCATACCTTTCTGAGATGCTTTCTTATGCACCACAAATATTGAATGAGCAAACTACGTTGATCTAAGGCCAGATATGAAGGTCAGACGATGGTCAAAACCAACCTGATTTATTGCTCTGGGGCTTGCTGTATGGGATAGTTTGTGGCGCTCATTTCGAATTTACTGACAGCAGGAACCGCATGATACATCTTCCATTGACTTCTTAGAGGTCGGAACAGGTTATTGACCTATGATGACACGGGTTGACATTTTGTTTTAGGAGCATACTGCCTAGCGTAATCTTTGTCGCTTATTCAAATACAAAACTCACGGCAGTCTTGTATGATTTTGGTCACTATGAACTTCAAAAGGTCAAACAAGGTCACTGACCTCAAATGGGCTTGCGCCCTTTTGCTTAGAAACAGTTACGTAGGTCCTGGGGGCACTTTAGAGACCAATCTGGAATTTGACCTCGTTTGACCTTATAAGACCTGAAGGTCATGACCTAGGAAGCTGAAACTGTGAGTTAAGTGAGTTCATGTACGGATTAAGACACGCTGTAAATTTGGTGTCTCTAGCTTTCTTAGTTGCCGAGATCTCACGGAGTCAAATTAACTCCCCGAGCGAGGGCTATCTAGCCGGCCACCCGGGCCCATGTTAACGGAGCCACTTATCATAAATCTACGCTAAATTAGTTAATTAATAAATTTACACACACACACACACACACACACACACACACACACATATATATATATATATATATATATATATATATATATGTATATATATATATATGTATATATATATTCTACCTCATTGCACCCGATATATTAGGTAGATTGGTAGGTAGACTATTAGGTAGATTACAGGGCAGAGTTTCCCATATTTATCTAATACCGGGTTAGTGGTATTGGATATCTATAGTTTTTCAGAACATCTCTCCTGAAATGGGTTGTTCAAATGCCGCCCGAGGGATTTATGTTTGTTGCAGGATACGTGGAATTTGGGAAACAACAGTCACAACGTAAACTTCCGAACAAATTCAGGGTGCAGTCGGTAATGGCCGATTTTATAGTAGACCAGTTGCGCACAGCTGTGTGAGATTATGGGCTACCATGTCGGCTCCTATCTGACGAATTCGGTACGTTAAAGTGCTAAAATGTTGCATCATGCCTGGAACTGTTTAAAAGTAGCGTGTTCTGTCTTTCCTCTTCCTGGAGACACATCTGAGCAGGGCAGCACCCTTTAACTCTACAGGATGGGCAATGCACCTTGGTAGGCATTCAAAGCGTTTCGGTTTGAGTACCGTAGCGAGTCTGCGTCTGAGAACCATAGTAATGGGCATATAATATATTCGTCGAGGCTTTGCAGAATATACCGCCCCTTAGCAACTGCTTCAACACAGAGCTCTGATGTCCATAAGTAACAAAATATCAGTCCTAATGGCTTGCCAGGAGGACCGGCTTGAAGCAGCATTTTGCTGTGTCTATTCTAGACATGTTAACCACGGCCGCCGTTCTCAGCAATCGGCATACGAATTGTGCACAAGAAAAATTGACCCACGGCTCATATAAATGTAACAAAACATAATAAGCGTATTTTATTTACAACTAACTTGTGTTGTGACACAAGGGTCCAAGCTCATAATTGTTAACATAATCCTTTCAGAGAATCGGTATCATTTTCTTCCGCACAATTTAAGCTCATCGGATGCATTGGTTTCTGTTCGGCCTCTTTGACCTAACAAAGTCGCGACGGGCTTGTATGCGTTGTTGCGGTGAGGACAAATGAACACCAAGAAAAGTGCCGCGGCAGTCGGGTGGACGTAAAAGCCAGCGGCAGTGGACAGACAGACAAACCAACGGAAAAATTCAACAGGGCGCTGCTACATCGCAGAAGGAGAGGAGCGCGACGAAGGCAGCCTGTGTCGCAGCAGGCGCAAACACGGCAGCGGTGCCTGCAACACAACGGCGGGCGGTGCCAGCGGCTCCGGCCGCCGCGCGCCGTTCACAGCTCGCTCTCGCTGCTCCCGCTAAGTGGGCCGTCCGGCCGGCGGAGAAACCGGCCCCTATAAAGCGGCGCGCCAGAGGCGGCGGCTCAGAGCAGCTCGGACCGCGAGATGAAGACGACGCACGTCACTCTACTGGCGCTGGCCGTGGTCGGCGTCGCCACAGCCGGTGAGTGTGTTGGCGGCGGGGCAGCCACGGACGGACGGGGAGCCGTGCCCGCTGGCTGTGGGCTCGGGGAGCCGTGCCCGTTGGCTGTGGGCTCGGGGAGCCGTGCCCGTTGGCTGTGGGCTCGGGGAGCCGTGCCCGTTGGCTGTGGGCTCGGGGAGCCGTGCCCGTTGGCTGTGGGCTCGGGGAGCCGTGCCCGTTGGCTGTGGGCTCGGGGAGCCGTGCCCGTTGGCTGTGGGCTCGGGGAGCCGTGCCCGCTGGCTGGGGGCTCGGGGGCAGTGTCCGCTGTCTGCCGGCTCGAGGGAGTAGTGTCCGCTGTCTGTGGGCTCGGGAAACCGTGCTCGCTGGCTGTGGGCTCGGGGGGCAGTGTCCGCTGTCTGCCGGCTCGAGGGAGCAGTGTCCGCTGGCTTCCGGCTCGAGGGAGTAGTGTCCGCTGGCTGTGGGCTCGGGAGGCAGTACCCGCTGGCTGCCGGATCGAGGGAATAGTGTCCGCTGGCTGCCGGCTCGGGGGGCAGTGTCCGCTGGATGCCGGCTCGAGGGAGCAGCAGTGCCGGCATGCGGGTCCGGAACGCTCGGATACGACGCTTGGTAATACACCAGACTGTTGTTATCAACGAGTGTTGACCTGCACACATCCATGCATGTGATACCTATGCTCTTATCTCCATATACTGTGTGTCAAATACGGAATGAATAGCCTCCGTTGTATTAGTCATCCAGGTAAAATCGCAAATGACTAGCATATTCTCTAAACGAAACAGAAAATATGACCTTTGTTTGAGTGCTGCACTTTGTGCTGCTGTTGGTGTGCTCGTCTCGTCCCATCTCGAGCCACACCTCTGCGGGGCTGGTGATCTGACCGTGCCACACCTCTGCGGGCTGGTACCTGACTGTGCCACACCTCTGCGGGACTGGTGACCCGACTGTGCCACACCTCTGCGGGCTGTTATCTGACTGTACCACACTTCTGCGGCCTGGTACCTGACTGTGCCACACCTCTGCGGGCTGGTATCTGACTGTACCACACTTCTGCGACCTGGTACCTGACTATACCACACCTCTGCGGGACTGGTGACCCGACTGTGCCACACCTCTGTGGGACTGGTGACCCGACTGTGCCACACCTCTGTGGGACTGGTGACCCGACTGTGCCACACCTCTGTGGGACTGGTGACCCGACTGTGCCACACTTCTGTGGGACTGGTGACCCGACTGTGCCACACTTCTGCGGCCTGGTACCTGACTGTACCACACCTCTGCGGGACCGGTGACCCGACTGTGCCACACTTCTGCGGCCTGGTACCTGACTGTGCCACACCTCTGCGGGACTGGTGACCCGATTGTGCCACACCTCTGCGGGACTGGTGACCTGACTGTGCCACACTTCTGCGGCCTGGTACCTGACTATACCACACCTCTGCGGGACTGGTGACCCGACTGTGTGGTCTCCTCAGGCCCCGTCCAGGTCCGCCGCCGACTGCGCCTGTCGCCCGTCAAGCTGCCGCTGGCCGAGCACGGCCATCCGCGCCAGTTGGACGCGCTCGTGTGAGTGCTGGTCGCTCGTTGACCCCCGGTCACCCCTCGCTGGGAGTGTGCTGTAGGGCTGCGGGCAGCCTGAGACGGTGTGACGTCACTGAGGCGTCGGCAGCGTCGGCCAGTGCTGGTGATCGGGAGCGGGACCCAGCCGTGTCAGACGGTGTGACGTCACTGAGACGTCGGCAGAGCCGGCCAGTGCTGATGATCGGGAGAGGGACCCAGCCGTGTCAAACGGTGTGACGTCACTGAGGCGTCGGTAACGCCGGCCAGTGCTGGTGATCGGGAGCGGGACCCAGCCGTGTCATCGGCACGTCTGTGACGAGAGCAGATCTGGCGTGGGAACACCAGCCGAGCCACCTTCTTCGGCTGGAGGCGCCCGTGCGTGTGCGTTCGTTTGATCAGATAGTATTCAGCGGGAGAGCGACTGCAGGCCGGTCAGCGCGCATTTTCCCCTCAGATGTTCAGTAGTGCCGACCAGGTGGCATCATTTGTCTCGATAACGTCACTGACACAACATTGGATTGCAGTTACCATCTTGGTCCCTCCCCACTCAGTTTAAATATCATACGCATCTCGTGTAAGCAAGATTTTCCGCACATGATGGGCGTCGGCTGCAGAGAGAGAGAGAGAGAGAGAGAGAGAGAGAGAGAGAGAGAGAGAGAGAGAGAGAGAGAGAGAGAGAGAGAGAGAGAGAGAGAGAGAGAGAGAGAGAGAGAGAGAGAGAGAGAGAGAGAGAGAGAGAGAGAGAGAGAGAGAGAGAGAGAGAGAGAGAGAGAGAGAGAGAGAGAGAGAGAGAGATGTGTATATATATACATATATATATATATATATATATATATATATATATATATATATAATGAAGCTGCAGATGACAGAAGCAAGCCCGATTTAGACATGACTCATGTATGAATGTTACTACAACAATCAAAGAATCAAATCGGTTGACCGTGCGTTGCTTTTCAGCATTTGTGTCAGCTAGGTGCAAACAACTCAGGTATTGCATACTCAGTGCGAAGCACACGTAAGATTTCCTGAGCCGTGATGCTGATGTCTTCGGACAGTCGTCAGTCGTCTTGCGAGCTGGCGGCGGATTCCACCTGACTCAGACATGTTGTGGGTTTCTCCCATGCGGTTTATCACGAGTCATTAAAATATTCTTGATTGATTTTCCGACACATCTTTATGAAGTATGACGTCACGATCTTGGGTATTTGAAATGCGCAGGGGTCAAAGTCAACCTATGTCAAAGTAGTATGGCTCAGGCGGTCCCACGGCTCGAAAAGGGGAAGTCTGCATGCAGCGGGAAGTGCGTTATGCTTCATGATGACGAAAATGTATGTGCGTGACGATAGCCCCCAGGTCTAACGCCCTAAATGTCGTGTTGTGACATCTCAACTGCCTATTTCTCATCGGAAAAGGTGCAACCGTGAAGGGTCAGGAGCTGTGCCATCATCACATGCATTGTCCGACGGTGACCACCAGTTGCCGCGTTGGACCATCCCAGAGAGCGCGTGATTGTTAGCAACCTCACTTTTAAATCAAATCCTCCGGTACGTCGCCATAGGTCCAATATTAAACTTATACCAGAGGTGGGACCATAGTACCCAGCATTATTCCAAGCTCGTCTCGAGCGTCAGAAACCTGTGACCACACATACGACTGTGTTGACTTCAGGCCAGCATCGGCCGCTGTCCCGAGGCCATACTTGTGGTGAACTGCACACCATGCTTATCATGAGCTACGTCATGACGTTGATCGTGACCCTGACATTCACGACCGACGCAACTGACAGCGGTAACAATTGTGGTCGTTAGAGTATTTTAAACAACCCCAAAATTGGCAGTCGCCGGACTTTTTCGGACTGTAGTGATTTTCGAGCATGGTGCAGTGACCACCGTGGCTGCAGAGAAATTCGTGATTACCTTGACTGAACTGTGAATTCCTCAGCCCGGTCACCGCCGTGGGATCACTGAATACTGGAGCTTTCTTGAAAGCCGCGACATCGTGCCGGAGGAGACAGTCGCGACCTCAGTGGCATTTGTGACTCACTTGACCCCGTACGACTCGCACATCTCTTGTGACTGGCGTGACGTTTGACTGCCGTGACGTCCGAGCTCAGCGTGTCACTGATGTACTGACCTGGCGCGGGCCATGCCGCCGAGCAGGCCTGTGGAGCCGGAGGAGCTGATCCCAGTGAGCAGCGTCGAGAGCCGGCCGGTGCGCCAGTCCAGCCTGCCCAACTTCCCCGGCGGTTCGCCCCTGCCAGGTGAGAGGCCACGCCGGCTGCCGACGCAGCGGCCCCGGTCGCGTGGTCCCGCGGGCGTGCCCACGGCCTGCGTCCGGTAGCACGGCGGCCGAGCAGCCGCGGCCGGCACCGGCGTGCCTGTGCCTTCGAGCGGATCCCGTCTGAGAGCGCCCCTCCGCGGCGGCCGAGCGGCCGCGGCCGGCGCCGGCGTGCCTGTGCCTTCGAGCGGATCCCGTCTGGGAGCGCCCCTCCGCGGCGGCCAAGCGGCCGCGGCCGGCGCCGGCGTGCCTGTGTCTTCGAGCGGATCCCGTCTGGGAGCGCCCCTCCGCGGCGGCCAAGCGACCGCGGCCGGCGCCGGCGTGCCTGTGCCTTCGAGCGGATCCCGTCTGAGAGCGCCCCTCCGCGGCGGCCCGTGTATACCCAGCTGGCCACGAGTCAGGGTGGCCGGCGAGCGGTGCGTCACTGCCAGCCTCAGCGGCCGACCCCGCGCGGCGGCTGACCTCGCGGGCGGCTGACCTCGCGCGGGGGCTGACCTCGCGCGGCGGCTGACCTCGCGGGGCGGCTGACCTCGCGCCGCGGCTGAACTCGCGGGGCGGCTGACCTCGCGCCGCGGCTGACCTCGCGCCGCGGCTGACCTCGCGCCGCGGCTGAACTCGCGCGGTGGCTGACCTCGGTGACGTGGAGAGGTCACTGAGATGACCGGATACCGTGAAACGGCGCGATGCGGCACGATGTGGGCTAGTAGGCGTCAAATCGTGGTCGACGTACGATTCCTCGGCGCTATGCCACGGGGGAATTGAAGACCGGCCTGCGTTCGGAATCAGAGAGTCAGTGATTCGTCAGGTTAGCTTCTCCAAACCAGTTTTGCGTCCGATGGAAAGAGAGCTCCTCTCGGCTTATGGTGACTAATTGAAGACCACAGTCAAGCAGTGTCCGCACAGATAGTAGCAGGAAAGTCCCTGGTGTATAGCATGCCACTAATCTATGATGATTACGGCAACCTGTTAGAGCCACTGAAATTTATAATAGCATTCTGGATGGCCATGCAATTATACAACGACAACCATTATTTCTCGCACGGCTGTTATACCATGTGCACCTTCTGTGAAACGAAGTGCAACCCAACAGAGGCGTATCCCATGGAGAGGCACTGGGGCACGTGTCCCTGCACTTCTTGACACATTTTTAATTCATTGATGTGCGTGTGACTACAAAGCGACGGTTAAAAAAAAAATCGAGGTGACGCGCCAAAATAAGTAGATTGAAAACATACCATGGTGTCCTACTCGGTGCTAAGGCCCTAAGCTCATTGCAAAATCCTGCGCCCCTGCCGCCCAAGTAGGTGTGCTCCCACAATTTCGAATATTTGCACTGTTGCGTTCCTTTGGGTATTTTCCTTACAGCCCACTGTAATTTTGGATATGGTCAACAAAAGATTGTTTAATGTTACCGGGTTCACCTTAGAGATGATTTACATGAAAGTGTGACACGAATAGCGAGATCTACCTCTCACCTACCTCATCATCCCACCAAACTGAGCAGCCAGCACGACCAACATCGAAATTTAAATGAACGGAGATTCGTGCGAAGTTAGATCCTTCCCGCTTATCCACGTTTGGCTCCAGACAGTTATGGTACAACCTAAATTAACAAGAGGACACGGAAAGCAGTCCTCGGTGCAGAGATGGCGCCCCCACTTCTGACGGCTGAGGAAAGGGGCCTTTGCAGGTTTGCCGCACCTGCGCCGCAAGCGTCAGATCACCGAGAAGCTGCGTCAGATGCTGAGCGCACCGTACCGGGGCGGCGTGCCGATCAGCCTAGACCCGTTGATGAGGGGCAACCAGCGCCTGCAGCGCAACCCTGGCCAGTTCCTCGGCGTCAACCCACCCGCCAGCGATGTGCTGCGAGGTCCCCGCCCCCAGCAGCAGGACTTCAGACGAGAAGGACAGGCATTCCAGCAGCCACCACAGCAGCACCAGCAGCAGGAGCGAGACTTTAGAAGAGACGGACAGTCGCTCCAGCAGCCGCCACAGCAGCAGCAGCAGCAGCAGCAGCAGCGAGACTTCAGAAGAGACGGACAGTCGTTCCAGAAGCCACAGGAGCAGGAGCAGCAGGACTTTAGACGGAATGAGCAGTCCTTCCAGCAGCCACAGCGTCAGCAAGAATCCCTCCGACGAAAAGAGCAATCGTTCCAGCAGCCTAAAGACGCACAGCAAACGTTTCAGCCACCCCAGACCTCCGAGCGTTTCGCACAGCCACCGCACAAGATCCCTGAGCGCCAGGACTTTCATCAGGAACAAAATTTCCGTCAGGAGCAAGAATTCCACCGGGAGCAGGACTTTCGACAGGGCCAGGGCTTCCAGCCGCCGCCGGCGCCGCGTCAGCCGGCGCGCCAGCCCGCCAGACCGCACAATGGCTTCGTGCCCGCCAACGGCGGCTTTCCTTCCAACTTCTTCAGCCAGATCCGGCGCAACTTCTTCGGTGTCGGCGCGCAGAACCACCGCCAAAAGAGAGACGCCGGTGAGAGCCCGGATGACGTCATCACGCCGGGTCAGGGTGCCCGGTGACGTCATGCTGGCCGGCGGCGAGCGGCGAGGACGCGGACTGTGGCCTGCCAAAGTCGCCGTCGGTAGCTGGTGCACGACGTCGCGCCAACGTTTGACTAGCTAAGATCATCACTTCACAGAAATTACGCATCCCTCAGCGGTCTCTACGGAACAACCCAGAGGGCTGAGGCTTTGCGATTCTTATCCGCTAAGCAGGAGGTTCTCCTTACAAGGTTTCTCTCATGACAGTCATTTCTGAACATGGACTCGTTTTTCCGTAATGAACTCCAGCCCAGTCAGTTTGTGAGAGGAGGAGGTCAATGACTGAAAGTGGGTTGCTGTGGAACAAAGTGCACTTTTACATTGCTCCGTGAAGCCACCACCGTTGCTGCTGCTGCTCTCACTGTTCAAATGCACGACATGCACGCATCATATTTTGACATTTGTGGATACACACACGTAATGTGTCGTGTTCACGATTTACCTGCTCTAAGCTGGAAGCTGCTATGCTCGCCAACTCCTGTCAACACTCCATTGGCCTCTAACTGAGCACGCAGTAGCACCGCCGCTGGGCATCGAACCAACCGCCGTCTCCGTCTTCCGCAGACGCGCCTAATAACGGCGAGGTCGGTTTCTTCGAGATGCCACCCGGCTTCCCGAACATTAACAGCCTGGGCGGCTTCAGCGACAACTTCGAACGCTCCCAGTCAGACGGTGAGAGGTCGGGGATACGGAGAGAGCGCCGGAGGGCTGGAGGGTGGACAGGGTACGGCAGGCCAGGGCCGGGTAGGGAACGAGGGAAAGGGCGCGGCACTGACAGAAAACGAGGTGCAAACACATGCAAACAATACATAGGGAATATCCCGGTGAATCATGTCTTTTGTGCCAATTATTCTGCTTACCTTCGGTTGAGTGGGTTACCGCAAGTATCCTAACGCATTGGGTGCAAACGTGACCATTGCCATCGAAGACCAGTAACAAGCAAGTTGTGTTGATGCGAACAGTAGGTCTTAACCAGATTTGCTTGGTTGGCCAGCAAACTTCACTGCTGCCGTGTAGTCTGGTCATGACTCCATCACTGTACCCAGGGCAGCTGGCCGCTTATGACGCCGCATCAGTTGTCGCGAGGCGCGCTCCCTGACGCCAGCTCTGCTCCCCACCAGTGAACAACATCGAGGTGATCCCGATCCAGTTCCCGGAGTCGCAGTTCCAGTCGCGTCAGGACGCGCCGGCGTCGGATTTCCACGCCGTTCCAGTGAGTGGTCCGCCCACCGCCTGCCGTGCCGGGCCCGGCAGACGCCAATGGGCCGGCACGGCGACGTTTTCGAGAGCGCCCCGGCTGGGGGCGCCCAACGGCCACCTGCCACCACTTTTGAGGCGGCGCTGACTTTCACAAGGGGAGACGAATGCTGTTCGCGGTGCCGTCTTTTTGTGTGCCGCCCCGCAGAGAAGAGTAATAATCAGATAGCTGATCAGGCCGATGTAACCTCCACCGCATGCCGACCGGAACGCTTTCGCTCTCGCGGTGAAAGTTGCGTTATTTACCTAGCGCGATGCTTAGCGCCATCTAATGGCTCGCGCGTCAGTGACTCCAGGGCAGCAACAACAGTGAAGTCTTACGTGTGACGTGATAGTCATGTCAAGCCCTTCGCTCGCGGCTTTCCAAACCGTTCCAGATGCAGTTTTGTGCCTAATGAGATCGTGCACCTACGATTAGCTCAGGAGCTGAACTTCTTACAAATATAAATATGCAGTGACTCCTCAAAAACTCCGTGTCAAGCCTGCTTATAGGCAACCGGTCCAGCGTAGACGCAGTGCATATTTTCCAAACCTGCTAGGTCAGTGTGTGCGTGTGTGTGTGTGTGTGTGTGTGTGTGTGTGTGTGTGTGTGTGTGTGTGTGTGTGTGTGTGTGTGTGTGTGTGTGTGTGTGTGTGTGTGTGTGTGTGTGTGTGTGTGTGTGTGTGTGTGTGTGTGTTGCATCGATTGATTGCAATGATGCATTGATATCTCATCGTCAGACGAGATGTGTTCATCATGCTCGTTTTACCTCGATGTTGACCGGCCTTGCGCATTTGCGGACGGTGCGGTACTGCTTAACTATTCCATAGCCATTCCAATGTGATGCCAACTCGCGCTTGCCGCGGTAGCTCAGCAGTGTGGCTCAGCGGAGGGCACATCTCCAGCTCAGTGTAATTCGCCCTGACGTTCCAGGACCGCAGCTAGGAGCCCAATGAACTGACCCCGTTTTCAGCACGCCAGGTGAGCACAGGTCAAAGTCGATCCTACGTTGTTTAAGGAAATAGCGCCACAAGGCCCGCATACGAGTGGTTTACTTATGGAACGATTTAGTTTCGGCTCATCATTTTGGAGTCTGTGTAAGCTGACCACAAGGTACATCAGGGGTCCGTGCGACACAAGGTACATCAGGGGTCCGTGCGACGCAAGCCAGCAAACTGAACTATCCGCTGCGGGGCTGCCGCACCCTGAGAAGCCGACATTCCGGAAGAAAAGAAAGTTAAGCAGATTACCATGCAATATGGGGTGTCAGAGTCTGACCAGTGTCGGAGCAGGCGCGATAGCTGGGTGACGGCGTGCTGCGCCTGGCCGGGTACAACGCCTGCCCACGCGGGCGGACACTCGCCTTAGCTGGTACCGCGCCGCCGCTCTCTATGCGCTGCCCCAGGCGGTCTCTGTCGAGCCGCGACACGACAAAAAGTGAGAGTGGAGCACGTCACTGGCCACCCGGTGAAACTCCACCAGATTTATGGGGCGCCGTCGGGCCGTCCACCCTGCCCTTCCGAGCGTCTGGGACATGTGGCGATTACTGCCGACGCCCGGACGCGAGTAGCGACATATGCGGCGGGCCAATGTCGTTTTGGTCCACCACCTGTTCCAGAGTAAATACGATTGCAACTGGCAATGCAACAACTGTAATTGTATCGTCTGACAAAGACCTCATCTTCCGTTTCAGGTACCCAAGGAGTGGCCCTGAGAAACCGACCCCTCGCCACCTCCAGTCATCAGCGCCTCCCCGCCCATTTCAGTCGCGTCATCGCCGTGACCTACGCACGGCGCCGTTCACGCCGCCGGGCTGGGGGCAGCGGACGGCACGCAACCACCGCGGTCCGCCGCCGCCGGCGTACCCGGGGCACAACAGCGGCCGCTCGGGGAGCGGCCGGTACCAGCTGCCGCTCAGCCCAGTACCGTACCGGGCGCCGTTTGACGAGCAGGTGCGGCCCGCGCCGCCACCGCCGCCGCCCAGCGCGCCGCAGCGCGACTTCTTCTCGCACTTCTCGGAAGCGTTCCCGGCGCAGACGGCGCGCGCCAGCCACCTCGGCTCGGGCAACTACGTCATCCTGCGCGGCGGAACCTTCGTGGACGGCTATGGGTACCCGGAGAACCAGCCGGCGCCGCGGCCGCCGCCTTACTCTGACTACCGGCGGCCTAACATCTTCGAAAACTTCCGTGACTTCGCCGAGTTCGCGCATGGCTCGGAGCACTCGTACCGGCTGGCGTTCCCCGAGCACGTCCGCATGAACACGGCCGAGACGAGCACAGCCGAGACGACCGCGTCGAGCGGCGTTCCGGGCGGCGCGCCCGGACAAGACACGGCTGCCAACATCCAGGACATCCTCTCCAGCGGCGCGTCCGGACACGGCATGGCTGCCAACATCCAGGACATCCTCTCCGAGATCAGCAACGACGTACAGACGGACAGCAGCGTCGACAGCAAAACCAGCCACGTCAAGAAGCGTGTGCTGCAAGACAAGCGGCTGGCGCTGAGGCGGCGTCAGGAGAAGGAGGCGCGCCTCATCACCAAGAGCGAGCTGCCGCCGCCGGAGGACCCCATGGTTGCCACGTACTGACGGAGTGGAGGCTGATCGGTTCCCCGCACCGCTACCTGCTCCAGCGTGGACCGCCGTTCTCGTCCGGCGAGCCGCCGTTCCCGCGCCGCTCAGCTCATCCATCACGAGTTTCTCCCGCAGCCCTTTGCTTTCGTTGCGTCCACAGCTGCCTCGTCAGTGAAGCATGGCGCGACTGGTGTCCGGGCATCGCCGCCAGAGAAAGTCCCGCGGCCAACCACCAGCCTGCTGCTGACTGACTTTCACTCTCCACCGGCCGGCGGAGCGGCGCGCGCGCGCGCACCGCGTCGTCACGCCTGGCCGCCGCCGCCAGTACAAAAACGGCGCGGCACCGTCACCAACGCCGCACGGCGCGTGGCGCGCGCACGACAGCCGACCGATGCCTCGCCGGCGGCGAGGAAAGGGGGCGCTGGAGACTGTCGCCGGAGATGGGGAGAGCTACAGGACAGGTGGAGGTCACACGGGTACCTGTCGTCTGACGACGTACCCTTGGTTTGTCTCGAGCGCGGTCAAGCGAAATGGGGAACTTTTACTAGCACTCCATGTCTTTCATAATTGTTATTACATGTTTAAGGTCATGTGTAGTGTTCGGTGACGTAGATGTTTGTTTGGAACTGGCACAATTAACTACCAATTGTTTGTGGTGAATTTGAGTCCCGGATCGAGTCTAAATGTCTTCAAAAGTCCTGCTACTGCCCAAAAAAAGTGTTGTATTGATAATCAAACAGCAACTTGTGGCAACTCAAAATCGCAACCGCAAACAAATAGAAGATTGCGCATGTTATTGCTCTAGCGATTGTGTTGCTGAGAATGTTCGTTATTTGTTCTACTCGATGATGGAGTTGGAGAACGAACTTGATGTAACTCTGTTAGTCATCTTCTGCTCTCATCGTTTGTGTGCGAATGCTGAAGTGCAAATCCGTGTTTGATGACTTGTATGAAAGCATGTCTTTGGTGAATTTGTAGTGGCTACTGTTACGTTGGCAAGAAAATATCTTCAAAATACCACCACCTTCTTATTTCAAGATCGGCACGGACGCCCGTTCCCCGCACAGCCCGCGCCGTGGGTGCCCCGATGAGACTGGCACGAATATCAGACGTTCAGGCGTATCAGCGTACTCTACATATAAGTGCCGCCACCGCTGGAAGAACTATCGCGGGGCAATATCAACATTTCTTAATAACAGCTGGTATAATAAATTTAATGGGGAAAGCGCACGCGAGTGGCGGTTCCGTGCATTGGTGGGGACTATCAGCACCTTGCATAGACATTCTGTCTTAAAGCGGTGTTTTTGCCAGAGGAGACAATTGGTAACTTTTCTGTAGTTTCCAGTAATAGCACCGGAGACTGGTGCAAACACCTATAGAAAAATCGTCAATAAAGGCTACACTCACACCCAGAGTGGCTTCTGAGCCAGATTGCCGGGTGTATCAAGGCTGGCTCTCGGCTAACTAGCTTGTTAGTTAGCCGCCGATCGGTCCGCTGCCCGTGCATGGCAGCCGTAGCCGACTCCAGCCGGCGGTGTTAAGGGTAAGGAGCTGTTGAAAAATCAATGTGCATGGATTCCGAACGTGCATTTGAGATGCCTGAATTTACTCAGTCAACCAGTCGGCCACGATTTCATAATCCTGCTGGCCATTGACTGCAAGCGTTTTATTTTCCAGATTTTATTAATCTTCGAAAAAGCTATTACGTGTGATGAAAACGCTTAGCATGAGCAATTTCCGGAAAATCGCAGAACGTTATGGAAAACAATCTTTACATTTAGTTGCAATGGTAAACAAGGTCAATGATAAAACCTATCATTTGCGTATGTTTGAGGGAAATCCTGATGGCGATGGGTCTAAACGATCATTTTCAAAGGTGCACTATTTTAGGGGACAGCAAAATGCTGCTCTATAACCCTAGCATGCCACTGGCTACTTTAATTACCAGCGAGACCTTTGGGAAATTCCCCATGACCTGGCAGACTATGGAAAATTTACCAAGATGTACGGACATCAAGTAACTATCTAAACTGGGTTGATTGAATTTTGAAAGATACGAGACGAACGTTTTTCTCAAGGCACAAAGGCAAAACCAGTCGTCGGACAATGGATCAGCCAATAGCTATCAGGTAGTCGCAAAGTTGTCTTGCCGGCTAGCCGCCGTTCCCGGCCAGAGGACCTTTTGTTTGACGCCGCAAAGGATTACACTATTGACTACAAATATGCATTGCCTACTGCCGAAAGAAAGATAATGAAAAACGTAAACTCATACGAAGTAAATGAAAAGAAGCGTAACCGAAGCTACTGGGAAAGAGCGAACGCTGTAAGTGGGCGCCGCGGTCTGAATTGTTGGCCGACTGTTCGCCACCGATTTCCCTCCAGAACCGGCATGCCGAGCCTTACCGACGGCGGCGACGGCGATGCGGCGGCGACAGCACGAGCGACAGAGATACGGGGCTCCAGCCAGCGTGACAGAAGCAGATAGCAGAAAATGCATTTAAAACTAGCTAGGAAGCACTATACGAGACGACAGGGCAATTTTAAAATGGCAACCAAAACCACGTAGACTTACGGTGGAGTCAGGTGCTGAGACGCAAACAAATACAGTGGACTGTCATTTCGTCCATGCTGTCATTTGCCACACCACCACCCATGCTATCATTTCCCACCACCACCACCCATGCTCTCATTTGCCACCACCACCACCCACGCTCTCATTTGCCACCACCATGACCCATGCTCTCATTTGCAGGTTATCACACTTACGACAGCTGCAGCAATCACACGCCGTCAGTCCAATACGCTAAAAGTCAAATTGCCTTCAAAAGCGAGATTAATGTAGCGAGCAAAGATCATTTGCTAAAAGCATGTGTTCTTTGTTAATTTTTCAGGCATAATCCGAATCTGTACTCTTTTTGTGTTGTAAGCGTTACACCAATCACATTCTTAATATACCTGATTCATTCACCAAATATAATCGCCGATTGGTAACCTGTTTAGTCGGAGTCGGTAAGAATCGTCTTGTCTTCTTGTAGACATCAGGAGACTCCGGGAGGGCACTGTTGTACAAAGGCGAACACCGTTTCCGACTGTGCCCTCTTGTCCCTGATAGTTCTCTGGCAATGCAAATTGATCATTGATCACCGACGAACAGATCAAGCGGTAAATGGTGGGGGTTTGGGCTGAGGCCTTCTCGACACTGCGCCGCGGTGGTTTTGCGGTGGGCTGGACGTCGCTGACGGTCGCGATGCTATTAGCTACCAACTCGAATGAACGTCACATTATTATCTGAAGACATTACATTACCACACACTGAATCGTATACTGTTAGTCTCATGGTACTTGTTTCCTGACAGTTACACGAGTTTCAGTGATGGAGACGGCTGTGGAGCCGGTGACGAGAGTATTGCCGGCTTGCCGGCCCGTAGACCAGGCCACCAGCTATGTGACGTCACCAAGTGGGCGTCGGGAGCGGTGACGTACTTGAAATAGCTAGTCGCCGGGCTGGACCGAGCCCCAGCCGACTACATCCGGCCTGCCATGCTGGACGGATACTTCGCGTCACTACATCTCTGTAGATTTCTAGCAACATCAGACTCCAAGGGCGCAGGCGGGCCTTTTGTCCTGGCCATCAAAACGTCCACCAAAATCCCGCAAGTCTTGTTTTGCCGTGACCACCACTCCATACCTGGGAATATTCCATAAGGTGACGAAGTCTGGCTTTGTTAGCAGCTTGGTGGCGCTCCGTGGTGGGTTCAAAGCCTGCGACAGCCTAAGCCTCTTTTGAGGTAGTCACTTTTTGTCGTTGCTTTATGCACACTGTTGCTGACGTCTTCCAGTTAAATAGGGATAGTAGTATGGAGCACACGTTGAAGGGCTGAAGTCTCTCCGACTGAAGAAGACACTTTACCCATGAGGAGAAGGAGGTGAAACCACTCAACTTGCGGCGAAGTCCCGCTGCCTCGCAATCGTGTCTCCCCAGTATGCAGCCTAGTTGTGTACGTAGCGGCCTGTCCCATCCTGAGATATCATGTCCATGCAGAACACGGACAAACGTCTTCAGCCAGAAATACAGGGACGAAAATTAATTATATTGCTTAGAGCGACAATTCGCAATTTTTGATAGACGTCTTACATACCACCCTAAAATAAACACTTAAAATGAAAACAGGAATTCAAAGTCTCTCATTTTTTGCAAAAACTGATTTAAATGGTCCAAACGCAGGGAGAAAACCGGTGCTCTACATTCCCACATCTTCGGAGTATTCCGGATTTGTATGGGATTTTGAACTGAAATGCCAGTCCTGAAAATCATTCGGTGCAGTTCATAGCCCTACCCTTCTGAACATCTAAGCCCCTCTAGTTTTTTAGCTACCCGCCCGCAAAGATGTACACACTATTTCAGGTATACTTTTTTAAGGTCACCCCGGAACCCATGACGCCATAATAACGTCATTCAAACGCTGCCACTCCATTAATTATGCGGCGATCAAGGAAAAACAATATAATTGTCAAGGCCTTCATATCTGGCGTTCGTGAGCGCGATTTCCAAATATATCGGTCGTCAATTGGCTCTCAATCAATGTTGTGCAGGGTGCGGTGACACAATGAAACAACGACACATCGGGCAGCATGTCTACCAAACATAGAAATATCGTTGTCTAGAGCAGGCTTTTCTTCTAAGCAGTACGTACATCACTATAAGTGGGCTTTTTTCATCATATCTGATGCTTGATTCAATACCTTCAAATGTGGAACATTCCATTCAAAGGCTGCCAACACTAATCAAACAACAGGTGAGCTGTATACGCGTATGAGTGAAACTTCCTGTTCATCAGGAATGTCTCAGCCCCGTCCCCTCGACAAAAATATCCTAACTTTAGCGTGGGCCTATGAGCGTTGCGAAAAATTGACCATCAAACCAATTGTAAGCGCTTAGCTTGCCAGGAGGTCAAGCTAGCACCGGCGGCGTGTCACAACGCCGTGTGACATGTGTAATGTCTCCCGGTAATTCTATCCTGACTGCGCCCCTGTCCACTTTCACGTGATCAGTGCAACAATTAGGTGCACGATTAGTCTCCCTGCCAACTCGTAAGACGAAGCTTTTTCGTCGGCGGTAATGGCGTTATACCATTCACAAATCAATTGTGTACGCCTTGTACCACACGATAGCTAAAAAGATAGTATATCAAACTCTCGCTTTTTATTCTCGTTTTAAAAATGATATGCCTAAGGAGCAATTTCTTTCACCACACTCAATTCCAGAGCCTTCGCTGCAATCCCATTACCTCAATTCAAATCCTATCGTAAACGCGAGCAGTTACCTTTACACTCATTGGAAACATTCCTCTGTCAGCGCGCCGTCAGGGTTCTCATTACGACTGAAATATACCTTACAGCACGGTGCTTTGGCAGAAATATCAACAAATATTTCGTGTGCACAGGCGAAACCCAGCGAAAAGTGAACACGTTAAGGAAAACTTGGGTCATCAGCAGGGTCCGAACCTAACACATCTCGTCTTTATAAAAAAGGAATGTGAAGCACGTCGTCGCGTCCCTTTAATGGAGCACCAGCGACCGCATTATCCATGTTAGCGCCCAGAGGCCACGACGGAACCGCGATTCGAACCCGGGTCCAGAGGCGCAGGCAGGGACGGGCACAAGGGGCACGTGCCCCCTCCCCTTAGGTTCCGTGAGGGCCTTCGGGCTCCTTGGAACCTACGATTTAGGACCCGATTTGAGGGGCCGAAGGGCCCGAAAGACCGGCCAGAGGTCCCATTTAGGGATCCCGACCACCAGAGCCGGGCACTCCAATGCCAGCCAGAGGGCCCGCGCGATGATCAGCGGCACACTGAGTCAATAAGGGCTTATATTTCGGTCAGACACCATCAGTGACGCACAGTCGGCCCCGCGGCGGCATGGGTATTAAGGGCCCATTTCTCAAGCAGGGATAAAGCCGAAGCCAGTGATTTAAATTGCTCGGGGCCCCACAGCGCCTATAAGGGGTGCTGTGTTGTTAAGGGGCCCCAAGCCGGCCAGAAGCATTGCTCGAGGAGACCCGAAGAGCCTAAAGGGCGCGTCGGGTCCAACGATCATGAACGCGATTGAAGGGTCTAAGGGCATAAAGGGCTGGTCAGAGTCCTATTTAAGGGCTTCGGCCTGCGAAGACGGCCCTCAAATAATGGTAAGAGGGAGCGGAATGGTCCAACGTGATATGATGCTGCCCTCTATGGGCGTCCGGATCGGCCAGGGGACGCCGCCCGTCTCGCCAGAATGACAGCCGGAAAACACACCGCGGTAGGACGGAATGGTCCTTCAGTCCTTGATCGGCAATAACCATGTGCCTCGTTGTGTTGTTCTCATGGGGCTCCTTTACCGGAATGAGATAAGGGGTCTCATCAGTGTAAAATGGAGTGGGTCGAAAAGAGCTCAAAACGCACAAAGCCATCCCATGTTTGTCTGAGAACGTTCATTCTTTTGCAAAATAGACGAGTGAAGTAAATAACATCAAAAGATTTTAGCCTGCGCCTTGGATGCCGGAAGTGTAGTGGTTAACGCGCCTGCGTTAACCACTGCGCGTCTGGGAAACCACGGGCACGGGTTTCGATTCCGCGCGGTGCCCGCCCTTTTCGCCAGGGTGAGACAGGCAACGCCATGTAGCCCCAGCAGCTGAGTACCTCATAAAGCCCCATGCCACACCCGTAATCCCGGGTAGCTAGGATAGCAATGGCTTGGGTTGCAATTTTCGTAAAACCGAACGGCGTTGCCTACTGCAAGTAACGCCAGCGGGCAGGCGCCGTGCGCGCAACAATGACCATCGTAAAACAATGTTCCTGAATGTCCTTCAAAATTGATTCGCACAGTTCGAAGACAACACTGGGCGAATTTTTTTTTTACAAATTGGAGATTGTCCTCTGGACAGCTTAATAGTTCAGTAACACGGAAAAAAAATCAGCTGTACTCTTCCAGTTGCACAACCAGATTTCGCTTTACATACGTCATTGTCACCATTGTAAAAACCGCACAAGTGAAAGATGTGCCTGGAATATCTCTAAATATGCGATTTGGTGTCCAAAAGTGTTAAAATATTTTCTCAAATGCGTCATCATTTTAGTCCACCTGTTGACCACGGCGTAGTGTTAGCCACGAAGCCGACGCTGCACGACCTGAGGAGACTGCAACACCTGGCGTCGAGGTTTTGTTTTTAAAATATGAGGGCGCGCATGCTCAAACTGCGTTACATATTTCGCACCACCAATCGATTCTGACTAAATATTGACCACATCCAGACAAAAAACTGGGCTTTTTTTTTGCTCAACTTTGGGACTGTCCTTTGGCCAGATATACAGCTGCAACAGCGTGAAAATAAATTTCGCCTTTACTTTTCCAGTTTCACCTCCAGACTTAAGCACCACTTCGCGGTGCTGTAAAGATTTATAGAGTGCTGTTCTTACCCTCAGTCTAAAAATCGCAACGATGACATAGACGCCAGGGCTACCTTCTAAATGTATGATGGAAGTGGTAAAGCGTTCAAAGATCCTTTTTTAAAAGAGTCATTTTCGTTTGCCCGTTGGGCACGGCTTAATATTAGCCACAGGGCCGACGCTGCGCGACCTATGAAGACTACAGTGCCTGGCGTCAACATTTTTGTTCCTGAGATTTGCAGGCACGCATGCTCAAAGTTGCGTCACATGATTTGTTTCACTTAATGATTCTGACGGAAAGTTGAACATTCCCAAACAGGCATGCCTCGGCCATGTCAATACAAATTATTGACCCATTTTAATCTGCAATCCACATTCGCGGAATCCTTGCTATCCCTTACGATTCAAATAAAACTCTCACGAAATTTTGGAGTTCTCTCAGTTTAAAGAGCCCTCGGGACCAATGTAAAATGAGGAACGCCGGCGGTTTATTTCATACATCCATTTAACGAATGACTTTTTTCATCTTACTGACTTTTAACTGCAGACAGAATTGATCTAGCCGTAACGTCTGACCTTTATTCCAGTTATAGAAGGAAAAATGTGTGATAATATGTGTATATTTTTCACTCATCTGAAATCTAAGAAAAACATGCCCTCACTAACAAATGGGCCATACCAAATAGCCGGCGATTTCTTTTTTTTGGGGGGGGGCCTTTGTCAAACTGGCGTCCCTCCCCTTGACAAAATTTCTGGCCGCGCCCTTACCCGGGCCCCCATGTGGGAGCCGACAAATTATTGGCAAAGCCTGCCATCATCACCTTATCGAATGTTCCCAAATATTGAGTGTATGGGGACACGGAACAAGCCACGAAACGAGACCTCGGCGGACGTTTTGATGACAGCGGCGGAAGGCACGGCTGCGCCATCAGCGTCTTAGGCATCGTAAGTTCTAGGAAGTTTAGATGTTACGAAGCATCCGCCCGGCATGGCGGACTGACATTCGTCGGTTGACGGCTGGTCCAGCCCTGAGACCAACGATTTTAAGCATGACGTCACCGCTTCTAACGCCCCCTTGGTGACGTCATCATGGCTGGCGCGCCTCGCGTGCCCGGGTCGTCGGTGGAATACGACGCACCTGGACAGCGGCGGGGGTTAATGAGGCTTCTCTGAGGTATAAAGACGAAATTCCCAGGGCAGATAGGATTCTATGCAAAATCGCTCGTGGGCATTTTTTGCATCTCCAGGTCGTAACCTTCCGGTCAACTTACACTGGGCGGCCACCGTTTCATGCGCCCCGAGTTCAGAGCACGGAGACTAGCAACGTTAAGAACTACACCTGGATCGAAAATTGACGCAATACAGCATGAGATGCATCAAGCCTATGATCGGATATAAACAACAATCCCAAGAACATGCTGTCCTTATGCCCACGAGGAATGTCTTCGACGTTGAATATTCTCATATTTTCCAATGATGATGTCGTCGCCTATCGTCCCCCTCTGGCCGTTTAAGGGTCGGCCATTTTCAGTATAAGAGCCCATAAATTTCTTCTCAACCATTTACCCCAACAAATAAGTTCCTGCCGGAGCTGAGCAAGCCGACTAGTACCGGAGGGCAGTGCGGCCTGCGAACCGCACGTGTGCACGTTCGGACGGGAAGACGCGGTATGTCAGCATGTGATAACCAGCGGTACACCGCGCATCTGGCGGATGCGATTCAGTGCGTTATCACCAGCGGTGCGTCGCGCATCTGACGAATGTGACTCAGCGCGTGCATCGCACATCTGACGGCTCCTGTATGGTCCCGCTATGTGAGACTCGCATTGTATGCGTGATTCTTGCAACGCTGACAGGGAGCTGCGTAATCTCCGCCGTGATGGAGGATGCGTCGTGTAATTGTAGTTGCACACCCGAAGAACATACACCGCAATTAAATCGCTTGGTGGAAGCATACTTACACCGCGCCTACGCCGAGTAGATGGCCATGCGTGACAAGGCCATGATGCGCTGTGCCGTAGGAAACACCGGATTACACAGGCAACATACACGTTGAAAATATAACTGCAATTTTATTCAGTTATTTATATATATATATATATATATATATATATATATATATATACCACAAAATATGACCCGAACACGGCACCAACAGGTTTATAACTGTATGCAATTTTCCTAGGTACCCATCACACTCAGCTCCAGCAGTTTATGAAGGAAGAGTGGTCAGCATTGATCAGGTCACACACAGACAGGCTCGCACGGCACGCTCGCGACAGCCTATACTGCATTGCATACCACCATCTTTGCATACTACTGTCCTCCATAACGCTGACCAAAACAGGGGCCCGCTGCTGTTCTCGTGCGCATCTGCGGCTGTTTGGCAAGTCCCAAATGTAAGACGAGACCGTCCTGCAAAACGTCCCAGCTCCTCGACTCACACGAACAGAGTTCCACGATAGTGTCGACAAGATACCGTCGCATCAAACGGGTGTCCCAGACGCCCGGCGGACGACACCTATCGGCTTCTGGTGTACACCAGAAGCGGACACTCAAAGCTCGCGCCGCTCCTCTGAACAGAGGCTAGTTTCCACCGCACGAAAATCCGTGGTAGCATTAGTTCTAGCATCGCCCGTTGGGCAGCGCTACCGTTTCCGTTTGGCCACCACCGTCCAGCCGTCGTCCGTCTGCATGCTGTCGGCGGCGGCGCCGGAGCTGGACGAGGAGGGGCCCGGGCCGGTTGGTGGTGCCGTCGGGCCATCCCCGCCGTCATCCTGCTCCATGGCGGGCGCCTAGAGCACGGCAGCGACCAGGTGGTGACTGCTACATAAGTGTGCAACCAGAGGGGCCGTCATATGGTGACAATGGTCATTCGGTGACCAGCAGCCCAGTCGTCCGTCTACCCCACAGAGTTGTCACCACCACCTTGACGCCAACAGACGGGCTTGATTAGAAATGCCAGTGGGATGTTCGCTTATTCACGAGACATAAACGCTGTCCACAGCACTTCGGAAACACACATCTGCATCAACTGTCCTCCCAGCTATTGGCTTTCATGCCGACCTCATTACGAGAATTTACGTTCTTGTCAAACTATGTATTGTACGGTCGCAGGCAGATCATAGGCAAAAAAGCATCCCGCCTTTTTAGCGGAACACCATGCACCCTAATGCCATCTTTTGTGGAGACTCGGCAGCTATGATGATATGGTCCGTCTGTGATCGCATATCAACCCTCAGGGGAGACGCTGCATTTCAGCCGGATCCCCTACATTTCAGCCGGATCTCCTACATTTCAGCCGGATCCCCTACATTTCAGCCGGATCCCCTACATGGGATCTAGCAGTCCCCACTCCACTCAGCCATTACGCACCCAAATGTCCAACTCCCCGAACCAGATACCGGCTGGAGAACTCCTGCCGTTCTCCCTAGCCCACACTGAAAAACCAACAGACAGAGCAGCCCTCCCTACGCTGGCGCTGCCCAGTACCTGTCGAGAGGTGGCCAGGTCGGCGGGCGCCGGCAGCCTGGCCAGCTCGGCGGTGACCTCGTGGTGGCGGCCGGCGGCGCACGCGCGGAACGCGGCGCACAGCGCGCCGCACACCAGCTCCAGCGAACCGTCCTCGATCAGCGTGTCCAGCTCCGTGTTGAGGATGTCGGCCAGGAAGTCGCCCACCTCGTCCGGGTACAGGTCGGCTGCGGTGGCGCAAACTCGTGACGTCATAGGGCGCTGTTGTTTTCATCAGTTGACAACCCGAGCCCCCGTGCATTGCGACATAAGCGTAATCACCTGCACCTCAGGACCCATGCTATCAACCGGCTGGTTGCGGCCGAGTGGCCGGGACCAGCACTGCTACGTTGGTTGTGCTGGTCCGGTGAGAACCATCGGTGCCGGCACCAAGCTGACGCCAGCCCAGGCTAACGTCTCCCGTAGACAGGGAAACGCGTCCACAGAGGGACGGATCAGGAAGAACGACAAACACTGCATTGCCAGATTGTCCAATGTGCATCATATCTGGTCGAAGCACCAAACACACGAATGGCGAGCGGTGACGCCACTCTGAGGTTTCTGTTAGTTTCACTGCCATCAGTGGACAGATAGTGGTATCGATAGTGATCGCTTATTTATCGTTTGGATAATGATTACAATGTCCGCCATCAACATGGTAAAAACAGACCTTAAACACACACAGTTATAACCACACGCCCTGCATATACACCACACACAGCCACGCATGCTGGAGCCACCTATCGGTGACCCGCTAGTCGCAGTGCACACCTCGCGCCGCTACAGCGGGAAGGCGAGGCAGACCCTCGCTGGCACGGGAGCGAACGGCTGCCTGTCCCATGGGGCAGAGGACACGGAGGGCCATAGACTGAGCCGTCGTTACTGGGACGCCTTACTGATGAGTCGGTGACCCCGTTTCAGCGTTCATATGTTACCAGTAACAAGACGCTGACTGGCTGTGACTCAGCTGTGAGTGGTACGGGGGGCGGGGCATCACGACGCTGACTGGCTGTGACTCAGTGGTGAGTGGTACGGGGGGCGGGGCATCACGACCATCTTGAAGAAACTGCACGTCCATGCGTAATTTCCAGAGCTGGTTTATTGTCACCACTGAGGCTTCATGACTTAGTTGCCGAGACCAAATGGCGTCGTCAGCCTCTCATCCTGGCAGTAGGGGCACAGTACTGTTTAATCTAGGTGAAGAAACACGTCACGACTGCACGGCTTCGCGCTCGGGACGACCCGTTACCTCGCCAACTTGTGAGCAGGGCTAACGAGATATGCTCCTGCTATACAAGTCACACTTATCAATGCCTCACCATTTTCATAGAAGAATGTTTCCGTGACATCCAACAGCCATGCATAAAATTCCTTGCTAACTGGTCCAGGCATCACTTCCCTCAGAGACAACTGAAATGCGCATAACGAAAGTAATGAGCAGAGAATGTTACATGTAAACGAGCTTAACGTGTAACAAGAACAATATATTCGCGGGTTAATAGAACACAAGAATTGAGGCGAGACGGAAATAAAACCCCAAAAGAAGATTGCTTGCGCTGCCGTCCTCGTCCGGTGAGCTAGAGTGTAAACAAATTGCTCGAACCATCATCTTCGCCTGGTGTTATGCACACACAGTGTACAAACTAATCACCTGCCGAGGGTGACAGTGTGGACAACTCGTAGGACGTATTCGTATTTGTAATTCGCGTTTGCATAAAAAACGCGCCATCTATGCATGATTATCATTTAACTGGCTTCTCTGTTGAAGAAAAACAGCAGCAAAACCAAATAATTATGGTGCGTGCTATATTTTGCTGATGATAATTTTTATAACATGTGCTCACAGCACTGGACGGACTCAGCCAAGCTTGATGACCACTTTTCAACTGTTCACCTGGAGTGACGACCAAGTTTTGAAGTGCCGCTCTACACATTCTCTGAACACAGGATACCGCACAGTCTTGGCAGCCATCTCTTCGGATAAAACACGTTGCTCGGGGCTGGACAGGGCTGAAAAAGAAAATTCAGTCATGCAAGGATAGTGGTCAACTTAGCTGAAATTACCTTCATCTCACTTAGCAAATTGAGTATATGCTGCAACAGCTTGTAATTATATATCTTGTAGATGTTCATGCAATATGCGATGTACAGTCGCATAACATCTCCACATTCCACTCCTCATATTCTACACCATACTTTGGAGATATACATCCTCGCCTCTCATCTGCATATGTCTCACTTGTTTGTACAGGGTCACTTGTCATCTAAATCAACCTGACAAAATGTATTAGACACATTAGCATTACTAATTACAGGAAGGATAGCTATGCAGCCCATAACATAATTGGAAATAAGCGAGCTGGCACACTGCTGCATGTATATGGGGAGTAGTATCACATGATACTTAAAAATCCCCATAGCTGAAGGAAACAAGACTCACGAGGCAGATTTTAGAGGATTTTTGGGCCTCAGTCATCTTCCAGTCCAGACTAGGGTAGGTGAAGGAGATGTTAGTCGTAGGGAGCGGGCCTGACGTCAACACTGACTTGACTGCGCCGCATTTAAACATCAGTAGCTGGTCGCGTAGCCGCCAGGTGGTGGTAGCGACCACTGTCGCCAACAGATGGCTCGATGGGCCATGTGGAGGCACTAATGATCGTGCACGCACCAATACGGCTTGGGTGTCATCTCACGCCGGTGTTTTATTGCCAGGGGAGATTACAATATATGTTATAGTCAACATCCATCCTGCACCTAAGCAGGATGTCAGCCCTTGTCAGAACTGGGTTCCCAGTCATACTGACGGTCTCAATAGAGCGGTCAACAGTGGGGGAAGGGGGCATCCAGGGCTCTTTTGATGGCATGCCAAATGTGCTGCTCTTCAAGATTAAGTCCTAAAATTTTGATTGGATGGATCTCTGGGATCAGCACAGATGCTTAACTGTGCTTGTTGTGTGAGCCCTGACACCACCATCTTGTATGCCGGAATCACGCATGGCATTTTGTTCAAAATTTGCATGGTGTTTTGTTTGTTTTGTTTTTTGCAAAAAATTGCATAGCACTTGATTGTGACATTGCAACATTATTGCAGCATTTCCCATCCCTGTACCCTCTGAGATCTGCACAGTATGCAGGGTAGGTGGTGTTCTCTGCACAGAGGGGTGCAAACCATGATTGATCAACTGCCTTGCATGAATGACAGCCTGGCCATTAAGATATAAAGTGCCATCTCCCATCATCATCTGGCCACCTGCTGTCCCTAGCCTGGGGCAATGACCTACCAATCCCAACTAGTCTTGCAAGCTTGGCACTGGAGCCAGCACCCTAATCAGCCAACAATGCCTAGTATGCATATAATGGTGGTCCGAAAAGGGCTACGCTGTGACGGATGCAGAGCTGATTACATCACATGCTGGGGATAAGGAAACAAGCCACTGCATCACACACCAATTCAATAAGCATGTCTGAGTTATTGATGAAACTCTGAGCATGCCCCTTGGAGACCACATCACTCAGGCCTGCCAGGGATAAGCCAAGTTTGATTTACCCAGACGGGGATCCTGGCATACCAGTGCTGATTATGCTGACCAAGACCTGATCAAGACCTCCGCTGATGAGAGCATGTTACCCTGCAGGCACGCAGTAACAGATGCTTCACCAGTTATGTCATTGCTGTCACTGGCTGCCCACCTGATTGCCAGTCAGCACTGCCACTGGAACTGCAGTCCCTCAGGCTACCAGAACTTACCAAACCAATCCCTGGCGAGGGTAGTGTGTCACTGTAACTCAGCAACACACTCCACTGCTGAGGCTATATGATGTCAGCTGCCTCACAACCCAGCAAAGGGCAAGTGCCACAGGGAGTGAAACCCTGAACTTCTGGTTTCCCTGATGGCAGACAAGGGATGTCATTACCACATTCTTATCTTTGGAGTTTTGGAAAAGCTTAACAGCCATCTCTATGACCCTGATAGGACTTTCAACACTTAAATATATGATGACCCCACATTTTTATACCCAGATCAGGATGGGTCCAACTGAATGCCAATGATGATGCATTACATTTATCATGTGTCATTGGGGCCTTATGACACACTCAGCTACTGAGGCTATATGGCATTGCCTGCCTCTCACCCTGGCAGGAAGGGCAGGCACAGCAGGGAATTGAACCTGTACCTTTGGTTTCCCGGATGTGCAGTGGTTAATGCAGATACATTAACCACTACACTACTGGCACCCCATATCACATTTATCAACTAAACCAAAATTCTTGATAAGCTTTCAATTTGAACTGATCTACAGGCTTGTTTAAAAAATATACCAGGTAAGAAATGTGCTGTCAAACTAATTTACCTGATTAATGGGCAAGACATGACACTCTGCTACTGATAACAGAAAATTCATGTGTGCACTGCCTTTTTGAAAAAAATTTGCATACAGACTATCAACAAATAAAACAAAAGGCCAGAAACTAGTCAATGTATATTCATTTCAAATGTCTTATGTGGATTCTTTCAGTATGGCCCAATCTTGTTAGTTGATGAAAGTCTGAACTGAGAGGTAGAATCTTATTTATGTGCAGTCTGAAATAACTACAAAAAATGCACTTCAGGGGTCTTTAATTCACACTGAAATATTGGTGTGCCAGTGCACCACATCTACCAATGCATGCAAGATGATTTAATTTCCTATTTAAGGTTTCAAGTTATAGTTAAGTACATGAAAAGTTATGATAAAAAAGTTTAGGTAGCCTAAAATTAATGGCTTCAGTCACTAACCTGACTGGGAATTCGATTTAGCTGCCAAACATATTTTTCTTTGACAAATGTGCACACACCAGGTGATGTCTGGTCAGTCTATGAGGAACTCATTCACTGCATCAGATTCCAATGCTCATGCCAGCCATGACATATTTGTCTTAAACCACCTTTGAAACATCACTTGTGTCTGAAACATTGGCTTTCTGCATTCTAATAGGTGGCAGCCATGCACAAACTATGAGCACGCTGGGATTTAGTGTATACGTAACAACATTTTCAAAGCCATGTTGCCGCTAAGCCACCTAGTGACATTCCCATCATGAGGTGTTTTGGGTAGTGGATATGTGCATTTGGGGTAAGGAAGGATTCAGTAGCTGCTCTGGATAGGTATTTTGCACTGATTAAGTGTACCTCACTGCATCCAATACACAACTGACAACAGTCAAGCTGTGCATGCCATCACAAGCTTGCCCACAAGCTTAATTTAAGAAATCAGAGCAGTCCTTCGCCCACATACTCGCACCACTTGCCACACTTGGTTCAAATCTCCACAATCATTGCTCCGAATCATTGCTTTGCATTGCAATCATTGCTTCAGAGAAGTGCCACAAGTGGTAAACATAAGCTTATTAATTAGAAGACTCCAAATGAGCTTAAGCATCAAAATCCGTAAAGATTCACTGCAACATCCTGCTCTCCAGGCCATGCACCTTGAAAAAGGGAACCTATATGTTGAAATACCGATCCCCGCCAATCACACACGCGCTCTCACGTACGTCTCCGTCGTACCCTTTAACGGGTATGAGTTATTTTCTGTTTGGCCACTAGGGTGCAAATAATGCTGTCCTGAGTCCACACGGCCCAAGATGCAAAAACTATTTGCCAAATCCAAGCTCATATGGCAACCAAATGCAAATTTTTGGTGTTTATAAGACTTTCTTGAACGCTACATCGACTTCTTGTCTCCTGGGCTGATGCAAACACTGAAATATACAGAACATATGCAATATCACGTCTGAATTACGTCACCAAGATGAATTCTTTGTCGGTTTGCAGCGATTCAACCTATGAGATGTGGGTACTCAGCTGATACCATGATAGACGTGCATGGCGCAACAAGATCAATTATTGGGGGTAAAGATGGCGACGAGTGAGGAGAATCCTATGCAACTTTACGAGGTTTTTCAAAGTTGTTTCAATAATATTGCCAACAAACAAAAAGGTGAGAATATTTTGACATTAACGTAGAAGTTGCGATGAATATACGGGGTTGTCAGAAGTGTCAATATGGGGAGTCGTCTCAAGTAAGTTGTGAACCGGTCGTCCAGTCATGCAGATTATGTGTAGACCATGCACATACACCCTCCAACACGGAGGGTGGGTGCTCATCGGGGTTGTTTATCTTGCAGTGATATCAATTTGGAAATGGCACTGGCAATTGGTGGGACATTAAGCCACAATCAATATTATGATTGTATGCACCAGACTTGCACACCTGAACAGTCCTGGATGCATGGTACATAACATAACATCAGCAATGGGATAACAAGTGCATGCAAGCCTCAAAAACTTCTGTGCAAAAATTAGGCTTCAGCTCAAGCCACATCTGAAATTCACTTGCTTCAAGCAACAAAATGTGTTTGACCTTGTTGTGAGGTTTGCAAGACCATTTATGGGGTACCATTGCACCAGTTTTTATGGTCTTACACCATATAAGAGTTGATTTCATATATTTAGCCATCTATGTCATTTCATCCTAAGAAGGCAGCTGCAGCATTTAGGCAACATTCTGACAATTGCAAAAGGTCATTTTGGAAACCTGGCCGCCTTTCCATCATTCAACAGGATCTCCGGTGGGTGCGTAAGCCTGTATAGCCAGTTTCTGTCTGCCTAGTGTGAAGCTGGTAGCCACCCTCCATTTTGGCTGGTACTGAAGCCAGTGAACAACCACTATCTGTTTTAGAGGTGGCATATACCCTGCCTGATAAGAACAGCACACCAAAATGACAATTATACTTTCATCATCACATGGCACATGCCAGAATGTTCAAAACAGCTATGTATTAGATTTTAGATGGGTGTTTCACATTTGGTTGCACATGGTGGCTGGATCAATGTCCATGCAGACCTTTGTCCATTCACTAACATCTGCTGCATTCATTCTAGAAGTAAATTCCTGGCCCAAGTCAGCAGTTTTCCTGTAATCTCTAGAGCTGCAAGTTTCAGTAGCAGGTGTGGTATAGAATGAAAATGTTTTTCAAAGTCCAATTAAATTGGATCTGCCAGATGCCAGTAGTCAAGGCTGCATAGCCAGGCTCTGGCTGCTGTTTGATCAAAAATATGGTTGGTACATGTGGAGTCATAATGCTGTTCCAGATAACAGAGTCCATAATTTTCACAACCACTGAAGTTCAACAAGGAGTTCTAAATTATGGCTGAAAGCCTGGAACCCTTCGAAAAAAATGGAGTTATCTCCACAATGCTCCACAACTCTTGAATGTACCCACTATCAAAAGGCCTTTTTAAAAATCATTTGAGAGGGGGGAGCTGCTCAGGTTGCTGTAGATCCTTCCTTAAGGCTCCTTGGGTACACCCCATCTGGCTCTTGTTACTGTGAAGGCTTCTTTGTTTCCAGCCTTTTTATTCACCTGGTTTTACTGAACACCTTGGAGGCAGATGCTGTATGAATGGTGTCACTTGGTGGGATATTAGAGTAATCCTCTCATGTAAACACACTACTGAAGGTTCTGCTCAGTTCTTCATCCTTCTCAAGGTCTGTTCACACTATTGTGCCTTCACCTCTTTCCAGCTGTTCAACCTTTACCTTTGCTTTGAGTTGCAAACAAGTGTTTCTCCAAAAAGCTTTGGCTAATCTGTGATATTCTCCACTAACCTGCTCTCAAAATCTTGTTTTCAGTTATTGTACTGCTCGTCCGGATTTTTGGGAGATGGTGTATCCTGTTTTTGGTGATATTAATTCTGCTTTGTGACAGTGTTGTGGCCTTGCTCATTTTGGTGTTGTACATGCTGGAATATGCTGAGACATTTTGTCATCTTTCTCAATGATCTTGCACTGTTTGCTATGACTGGTTTTACAGCCTTGATTGCATACAATATTATATTCTAACTTTTGCTAGAACCTTTTGAAGATGCTTACCTTTTGTTCTTCCCTTTCCCCTGTCCTCGAGCATTGTCAGCATTTGTCAGCATTCTTCCTTTGGTTAAGGGTGTGTCACTTCATCTTCATGCTCTTCTTTGATAAAGATTGTGCATCCACAGGGCATATTTCAACATGTTACTGCCGCCTGGAACACCTCCCTAGCTATTCAATTTTGCCCCCTTCTGCAAACAGTGTTAAGATCCATGAATAGGTTATGGAAGCTGGGTAATCTGTTTGCCAAAAGTTATGGATGATTTAGGTAGATGTTATGCACTAGGAGCCTACTGGTAGAAATCATTCTTCCTTAGAGCTCTTCCTGTTGAATAATATCTTGCCTCTGATATTTGCCCTTCATTCTTTTTTCTGGGATAAGTTTATTCAAATAACTTGCTCAAACAACATTTTGATGAGAATCTCAGTTAAGCATAGCCCATTCACCATCATAGAATTGGTGACAGAACTGAGGCATTGGAAAGCAACCACAGCTTATTAAGGATTGCTGTCATGCAATGCAAAGGCAAAATGTGGTGAATTTTGCTGACGACACCAGGGGCTGATACTCCCACACACCTGTCTCCCTAGCTATCCGCCGCTGCCGCACCCAACTGCTCAAAACTGTGTGGTGATGTTTCCCCAGCCTGTCTCCAATCTTGTTGGGGTGGGAGGGGGATTGTGTTGTGCTATGTGATGCAACCTTGGGTAGTTGATGGCCTCTCCCAGCTTACTCATGTATTGTGGGAATGCATTGCCTTAGGTGGGGATCAAACTCACAGAGTAGAAGATTGATTTGCACTGATGTGTCTGCCACTTGACCTCACTGTGATCATCTTTTCAGACAAGCTGTGGGCTGCCAGTGACTTCTTATGGAGAAAACCAGGTCAGTTTTGTGCAGTGTACCACACAGGTTAGAATGCAGCATATGCCTCTATCTGCATGTTGCTTTTTTATATTTTATGTCAATGTGTTGTCTGCATTGATAAGCTGTACTCTGTGGTCAGGCCATTGGCAACTGTAGCTATAGTGTTTGTGACTTTATTAGTGTGTGAATCGACGCTTCATTCATTTTCTCGTCAAAACGTTTGCCCGAGGTAATGCTACTGTTCTAAGCTGAGTGCAAAGGTGTGATTGTTTTCCCCGCCGTTGTGCTCCTCCTGGTGGTATATTCCGATCTCGTCGCGTCACAGCACTAGTACACTCATCCCGTGCTGGAGGTTCACTGGGCGCCAAATAGCCATGCAGTCACAGCGCCACGAAGCTCATATTATCGGTCCATCAATCGGAGTATCGGTCCATCAATCGGAGTATCGGTCCATCAATCGGAGCATCGGTCCATCAATTGCAGAACGTGCCGTCGTAGCAAATAACGTTACATGTGTTGCGCATAACGCATGTGGAGAGACGTAATACGGTGTGTTTGCAATCGTGCCAGCCACACCTTAAATAATTTGTGTTACTTCTTGAAAGGTGAAATACCATTATTTGAATATTCTGGGCCGTCGCACCCTCGTTTAAATGTCGGGCAGGAACGGGCAGTGCTATGCTTGTGTGCACAGATCGCCGTCCTTAAAGTGTGCGTGCATCAGTGCAGTATCGGCGCGCTCGGTACCGCCTTGCACCGGCGTCTGAGCCGCGCCCATGTTCGCAGAACGTATACCCGCCCAGCTCGGGTCCGCCCGGCGGCGGCGCGTGCAGCTCCGGCTCGCCGTATTACCCGTTCGGTGACGGAACAGCGGAGCGGGCCGACCAGCCGCCGGGCCGCGGCCCGCCTCTGCGGACCGAGCCGGCCTCGTCCGGTGAGCACGCCAGCCAGCCGGCCGCGCCTCTCACGGCACACAGCGACCGGAGACAGAGCATCAGCATCACACCCGTGGCACATTCCAGCACACTGCTGGCAGATCATACAAATCTAGCACAGCGCATCACAGGGATTTGCTGCGTGGGCCTTTGTTTACTGGTATATTGGGACCGGCTTTTGCTGTTGAAGTTTTTGACACTTTCGGGCAAGCTTAAAGGCCTGTGGATCTCAGTTTAGCCATCCAGCATGATATTTTAGACAACAGTGCGTCAGGCAAGGTGCGACACAAGCGGACCGCGGCCCATTCTAGCGATGTTAGTGAACTCAACGGTGAACTCCATATATTTTTGCCGGCAATGGCAGCTGTGGAAAATTGAAACCATCATTTCAAGGCAAATCTTTAGCCACCAACATCCTTCTATTGGAATGTCTCAGTACAGGGGTATCATCAAGGAAAAATGTTACTACGTGCTCTGTTCTTTACGCGTGCTTTTTCCTAACGATAATAGCTGCTATGTACGTGAATACGTCAAATTTGTCTTGCCTTCTGTTGGGTGTAAGGGAAGGGGGTCCTGTTCTGTCAGTTGGCTGCCATGACCCTTTTTTTCATTGACCTTTGAGTCACATTTTTATCTTTATTTTCTTGTGGTTGAGTTGGTACAACCGAGACTCATTTTTTCAACGTGATGCGTCTGTTCTATTATCGTCCGGTGATTTATCAACATTGTTTCAGGTTCCATGAGGAAGAGAGATGAGGTAAGTACCTTGTTCGCCTTCACCCCGCGGACAGGTGAGTTCTAGCAGACGAAACGTAATGTTTGTGGGTACTTTGAGAGGATGAATTAGAGAGCGTTACAAGGTGCGTGCTGTCTTGTTGATCCCTGCAGACGCGCAGGCGTTTTCTTGACGTAATGTCTCCTTGGTGAAGTTATGCAACCATCCAAAAAGTATTTGTAGATGGCGCTGCGTGCTAGTACCGACAATCCGTAATGGTCCTGTTTACCCCTTATGAATTATAACACATTTGGCGGCTTTTTACACCGTCCCAGACAGGCCGGACAGACTGTACCAGACAGGCTGTGAACATAAAGGCGGATGTTTTTGGCTCAGACAGGCACACATTAACATGGGAAGTCATGCTGTGATAATGCCCAGCGTTTTTTTCCAGACTTACATCATGTTATTATCACATGTTGCCGGTACATTTCATAAGCAAGCAAGCTTCGAGCCACCGCTTTTGTCAGCACCGTGAGATGACAGTTCCTATGTTGAAAACAGTGGACCCTCAATACGCCAGCATGTATTGGTTAGATGACGATGCCAGGCAAGCGATGCCTTGCTCTAACACAGTCTTGCACCGATATGCAGCGCCACCGGTGTATCCAGACATTGGTGACCAGTATTGTTTTTTTGTTACGAGCGCATGGATATAGAGAATGCATTAGCATATCTTTGTAAACGATACAGAATACAATATATAATACGGTATACAATACAATCAGCAGATGGTTTTAGTTATCACGTAGCATAGTCATGTTCATTCACAAGAAGAATAGTTTAGCCATTCTTTGGCTTGGACGGAAGCCACACTTTCATTTAAACCAGAAATATAAGCTAAGCCAGTCTCGCTCAAACACAACGCTACGCCTTGTCCAAACCAGAATTGTATCACGTGAAATGGGCTAATTTAAGGCTACGCTCGGATCACCAAGATGCCCTGCAGCATTACGTATTTACGTATGCCGTACCTAATCATTCAGAAATGCTGTGTAAAATGGGTGTGGGCCTGTATCGAAGACCACAGCGTCATTTTGTGAGGAAAGCTGTTGTTGAGGCAATAAGTCCTAATTTGATGTACAGGGTTTAAAAATGTCGGCGATATCAGCAGGACTGAAGACGCGCTGAGACGTCGTCCCAGCAGCAGTCCCCGATCAGTACCCATCCCAGTTACTTCATCCAATGGTAGCGGTCTGGAATGTTGGTGGTGTGGTGGCGGTCCCGACTGGGCTTCACGTGGAAACCACCGTCCTGCTGGCGGTGGCGCACCAGCAGACGACGCCGGCTCCGGTCGTGATCGGTGATCGATGCCAATTGCAGATATTTGAGCCACTTGTGACGATTAAAGACAGTGGCTGGGGCGGTGGAGTGTGTCGCGCGGCAACAACATTATTAGCTCATCGTCGTCACCATCACCATCACCGGCACCGTCACCGTCACCCGTCACCATCACCGTCGCCATCACCATCACCATCACCATCACCATCACCACCACCGCCACCATGTGATCATCATCGTCATCGCCGTAATAATAATAATAATCATCATTATTATTATCATCGTCATCATCATCATCATCATATAATCACCAAATCATCATCGTCGTCGCCATCGTCATCATGACACATGACAGTCAAGAGCGGAAACGTCCGGAATGGCTTGCTGGTATTCATAGAAAGTGTGCAATGTCTATCGAGTGTTTTGTTTATTGGAACAAGCGGACTTGGTTTAAGATTTCTAGGCTCAATTCAGGTCATGGCCTCATTAGACATGGGTTTCTGAAGCTGGTTTGGCGATCCTGTGGGCTACTGGGTGTCTTATTTTCATAAGCTTCCGTATGATCGAGCGACTGAACATGCCATGCAATCTAATGGTTGCGCGAAAAGTATTTTGTGCATTTAGATGCGCAAGAGCCCTTCCATGTTCACAAGGTCTAGGAGACCGAGACCGAGACCGAGACCGAGACCGAGACCGAGACCGAGACCGAGACTGAGTCCAAGTTCGAATCCGAGACCGAGACCGAATTGGAGCCCGAGCCTGAGCCGGAGGCTAAGTTCGAGCCCGAGACCAAATCCGAGGCCGGGCTCGAGGAAGCCCCAGACCGAGCCAGAACACGATACCAAGACCGGGACCGGGACCGGGACCGGGACCGGGGCCGGGACGAGACCGAGACCGAGACCGAGACCGGGACCGGGACCGGGGCCGGGGCCGGGACGAGACTGAGACCGAGACCGAGACCGAGGCCGAGGCCGAGACCGAGACCGAGACCGAGACCGAGACCGAGACCGAGACCGAGCTCGAGCTCGAGTCCTAGAACGAGCCCATGTCCGAGCCCAAGTCCGAGACCGAGTCCGACTTCGAGCCCGAGGCAGAAACCGGGACTGGGACCGAGGCCGAGGTCGAGTCCGAGACAGACCAGCTGGGCCCAGTTCCTCGCACGCCGGCATGACTTCGGACCGGACAGCTGGACTACGACAGCCCAGCTCAACCTTGGAGCAACTGTAACGGCGGTAGGACACCAAGAGAGACCTGTGTTCGACCAATATTTTTAGGATCAATTCAACTGTTGTTGAACGATTGCGATATGATTCAAATAATTAGTATGTGTTATGAGAGTCGATTGTCGATTCGCATCTAAGCTCAACGATATAGTTTCGACAACATGACCTAACATGATAAGTTGGTTAATTGCATGGCATGTCGCAGTGGGAATTTTGCAATAATTAATGATTCACAAATGCTGCTGTGATACAAATAGATTAGACAGGATGAGATGAGGTAAGGTTTCTTTAGCTTATACTTAGGTTACTTTCATGGAGATACACAGGGGTATTTTGCAAAAAAACAATGACTTAATATTTGTATTTCCGGACCCCATCTTAACGGAAGCCAGAGGTATGCTTGATGTGTTTTATTTGGTAAGGTGTTGATGTGCAGGATTCCAAGGCTTTTTTGTTGAAGTGCTTCATGGCTGTTGAGTTCTTTGTTGTTGTTTCTTGTTAAGTTTATTTGCTTTGTTTTGTGTTAAAAAATCCCGTGGAGGGGAAGTGCAAAGTGCAGCATCAGGACAGTGGTGTCACATAGTTTTTTATGCTTATGACACTGTTATGAACTTACTATCCTTTAATGTATTCTGTTTCACTGTAATGGCCTAAGATGTTAAAAAACAAACAGATTTGTCATGTTAATGATATTACATCCATGCCAACATGAAGTGTGTGTCTTTGTATGCTGGAGCATATCATAATCTGCAGCTGTGTGCCAAATGCAAGGTTTTTACGCATCCCCATTTTTTGGGTCACACCACGCAACCATCACACCACCAAAACAAAACATGGTAGGCAGGGTCTAAAAAACCGGCATTTGACGCAGGCACGTAAATTTTCCGAAACGGCTCGTTGGATCGCCTTGAAATCTCCACTAATCGATCCGTGCAATGAGGTGAGTCATGGGAAGGCAATATCGAGACCCGATCTGAGGTCAAACACCTCGAAAACGCGATGGGAAAATTTTACATGCAAATGCAGGCAACCCAAATCTGAGAGCCTACCGGGCCGGTCACCGTCAAACCTTTACCACTGGATGGCCCATACATGATTCCCTCCTGCACGGTCTTTTTGCGATGAAATCTTTCACTCCCGCCCTAGTTCAGAACTGATTGTAGCTCACTGCTTTTAAGGCCATGCGGACGTTTATCCCCACGCTTTGCGGGCCTGTGGCAGTTGTGGTGGTGCAGTTGTTGAGAGCGTTGACCGGTTTCTCGCCGGTGCTCCGGCGCGGCCGCTCAGCGGGCGCCGCCGACGCTGTGCGCCAATGACGGGCCGCCGTCACGGAGCGGCCTCGGCGGCGGTGCGGCCGCGCCGTGCCGCCCACCCTGAGCCCAGTGGCAGCCTGGCCGTGCTGGTACTAGTGTGGCGGAGGCAGTGCGCCACCAGTGCAGACTGCGCACGTGCCAGCTGCTGGCGCAGTCGCTGTGATGCCTGTCTGACCGAGCTTGGCAGCCGCGTGTGAGAAGGATCGGGCTCCGGTGGCTATACGCGTAGAAAGGATCGGACTGCGACGGCTGTACGCGGGAGAGCCGGGCTCCGACGGCTGTACGCGGGAGAGCCGGACTTCGACGGCTGTACGCGGGAGAGCCGGGCTCCGACGGCTGTACGCGGGAGAGCCGGGCTCCGACGGCTGTACGTGGGAGAGCCGGGCTCCGACGGCTGTACGCGGGAGAGCCGGGCTCCGACAGCTGTACGCGGGAGAGCCGGGCTCCGGCGGCTGTACGCGGGGAGGACCAGGCTGCTCTCGGATGGAATCGTGACGAGAGGGGTAGTGGCGGCGTCAGCCGATACGTGTAGCTAGCAGCTGGCCGTTGTGGGACTGTGCGAGTGAGGTCAGCCGCCGTCACCATGTCCGAGCTGTACACTCCGAACGGCTACCCGCCAGCCCAGGTGAGCAGCAGCCGTCGAGCCGGGCCGCCGGCTGTCAGCAGCGCGTGCAGCGCGGCTGGCGGCCACCTCTGTCGGTCAGCACGAGAGCCGAGCCGCCGCCGCATTGCGTGATTTTGCCAGATATTTGAGGCTATCCCGGATAAAAAGTATCCCGTTTGATGTGACCCATGGCTGTTTCTGCCGTGCCGCCACATCACGGCGGCAAAAGCGGCGCGTCCGGCACCGATGACGCGGCGCTGCTCCCGGAGCCGGTCCCCGTGACTGCTGAGGCGGCTGGTCTGTGCTGCCGCCGAAGCGCACGCTCTTCCATGTCCCCTGTGGGTGTGTCCGTGTCCGTGTCTCCGTGCTGATTCGCACAGCGGGCTGGCGCTGGCCGGCCGCAGCTGAGCCCGGCCCTCTGTCCCGCACGACGTTTGTTTGCGCGGGACGAGCGCTAACAAGCGGCTGCCGTGCCGCCGAGTCCGGACGTGTCGCCGCCGACCGGTGCGGCTCCGGGAGACCGGGCTGGAGGCCACCAACCACGGGAGACCAAGCTGGAGA